TAGCAAATCAATTTAGAGCGACAAACTATGATAAACAAAATACAAAGGTCAAGACTTATTAATACGAACACGATAAACAAAAGAAAACTACTGCCTAATTATTTCTCAGCTTCGTGGACCTCAGACCACCCAGCTTCATGGACCTTGGACCACCCAACTCCGTGGACCACCCCTACCATCTCTCTCGGTTGTCTCTCTTTCTCGGCTGACACCAGACTGGTGGACAAACAAATCCTCGCTGCCATCATCGGGGATATGAACCCAAACCCCTCACTGAACCACTCGACACAACCCTCCATCATCTGTTCACTCTCCTCAGCCATAATAGACAAAACAGACCAACCTGAAAATGCAGCAGTCCAAAACGTAGCAGTCCAAAACACAGTAGCCCTCCGCAACACCAGAGTACACCACCACTGCAGACGCGTTGGGTGTTCAGAGACGAGCCCAACGGTACCGGCCGCGACCGGAGAACTGCCCACGCGCCGGCGCGTGGCATCGGAACCCTAGGACTGCGCTGGCGCGTGGCGGCGCGTGAGGACTCCGGTGGCCGCTCCGCCTCTCCCGCCGGCGTCGCCTCCTCTTTCCGACCAACACCCACTACCCAGTCACCTCAATCTCGCTCTGATACCATGTTAAACAATAAACTAACTTGTATATATTTCTGTATGTTCTGTGTGTCAATGTACAAGGAAGTATAGAGCTATTTATACTAGACAAGAACTAATCATAGCCATAGGTCTCAAATACCTAAAACTAAGGCTAAGAGAGATCTTCTCAACTAACACCCTATTTCTCTAACAGAAACAATGGCCGCTTCCCTCGGGGACATAGGAAAGTTTCATTTTTTCACTATCTATCTCTTTCTCTTTCCAGTGCTGGACATTATACCTCATAACGCGAAGTTCCTAGTTTCTACTTAATCAAATTGTGGTTACAGCCAATAAAAGCAAACATGTCTTTTCGTATCTACACTCAAAAGAAATCGGTTAATTAAGTTACACCTCAAAAATTAAATCAAAATTCGTGTTAGTTATTATACCTCAAATGAAGAGCAATATACAGATCATCGTTGTCCCTTAGTCTATTAACCAATTTTTTTCCAAGCTCCTCAATATCAGGTGTGTACCAAAGAGTCTCATAAACGCACCATCCAAAATCAAAACCAAAACCAATACCAATGCCAATAAATGAGTTTAAAAACCACAAAAGCGGTAACATACTTATTTCACAGCCGACGGGAAAAATAGATTCACTGTTTTCTGGAAAATTTGTAGAAGAAATCAACATAATCTGGAAATACGTAAAAAAAATTTATTTTTTTTGCCAAAAAAATTGACAAAAATAGCAAGTTAGATGAAACAAAATAACATGTCAGCATTTTGTTTTTATTTTATTTTTACATGTAAGCAAATTAGATAGGATACATGTTAGAAACTTGTTAAAAATGTTAGATGAAAAATAATTGGGAATATAATAGCCTAGATGGACCATATTTTAATTCATGGTGCTAGATAAACAATCAATGTTATTACATGGGCATGTTTGACCCTTATATATAAAAGAAGAGGAGAAAAGCCACCGGCTGTCCGGCGCGGACAGCCGATGGCTATTCTCTCTTTTTAAATTTTTTTTTTCAATTTTTTAATTGTTTAGTTTAGTTTATTTATTTATTTATAATAAATAATTATTTATAATTTTTAATAAATAAAAAACATTTTGTTTTAAAAAATAAAATAAAAATAACATATATTAACACCACATCGATTTAACTTGATAAATAAATTAAATTGGACTTAATTGAATAATTTTAACGGTTTAAGAGGTTTGAATGAAGTATTTTTCATTTAGGAGATCCAATTGCAATATCTACTCACTTAGGGGGTCAATTTAACACTTTTTCCAAAAAAAAAAAAGTGCAACTATTGACCTTGCTCAGAACGGAATCATCGTATGGTGGCCGACGAATGGATAAGGGTGCGATTCAGTTGGTGGGCTTGAATTCATCCATCCAACGTCAGCATTTGAGCTCCGACACCCGGGATTCCCGGCCGATGATAATTATGCACTCCACACATTTTTACTTTTTGTTTTCGTTCTTATCAATTTAATTTAATAATTATTCTTCCCAAAAAATTAATTTAATAATTATATTATAATTAGATGTGGTTAATTACTGGATTAGGTATGTCAAAACTATATATGGCTGTGGTCATTTGGCCATATTGGGGTGAGTGAATCAAACATAATAAATATCTTCTTTTTTTTAATATAAAAAAGTAGTATAGGTATATATATATATATATATATATATATATATATATATATATATATATATATATATATATATTGAGGATTTTGATGTGTTAATGATGTTTAACTGCTTGAATTAATGTTTTAAAATGTTGTGATGGAGGAAAATTAAAGAGGAAGAAGATAGTGATGTGTATAATTGTGAGGATGAATATAATTGTTAGAGAAACATTGAACACGTGCATTGGATGGTGTGTGTAGAAATATAGGAACGAAGAGCTAAGCTATCTATCTCTATCCACAATAAATAAATGATAAGATATAGGAGCAGAGCAGCCTAGGAAGCAAGTGTTTAGACTGTGTATGGATTATATTATTAACAGCTTAACGTTATCTTTCAAAAAGGCAAATTATATCATGCATCAGGATGTACAATTACTAAGAGTTTATTTGTATTATGTTAAAGAGTTTATGTGTATTACTTTAAGAGATTATGTGTATTATGTATTATGTAGATTATGGATCTGTTTGGTAAAATGGTTGTTAGCTGATAGCTGATAACTGTTAGCTGATTGTGTTAATTAGAGAGTATAATAGTTGATAACATTAGCTGATTGTAGAAAAGTGTTTGGTAAATTAGCTGTTAGCTAATAGCTGTTTGGTATAATTTTTTTTCTCAAAAAGCTAATTGAAAAAGTTGCTTGGAGTAACTTTTTGAATTTTAACCTTTTGAAGTTGCAAAAAGCTAATTAACCAAACATTTATATTGATATTTTAACTAAATCAAACAATTAATAATGATCAAATAAGCCAAAATTGGCCTATAAACTAATTTTTTACCAAACAGAGCCTATGTGTATTATGTTAAGAATTTATGTATATTCTACTATACAATTATGTACCTACGATATAACAATTGTTTCAAAAACCTATGCGGGTTTTGTATTGTTAAGAAATACTATGGGTGGTTTTGGTTCTATATAGGTATCGGATTACCCCAACCTGAATTTAAAATATTAAAATATAAATAAATTGGTAAAAGAAAATAGGATACAAGAATTTTGTGTGAAAATTACATATAATGTCTGTTTTTGGTCGTGCGTGTCAAGATATAATTGTGGTTTTAATTATACATGTATATTTTGTAGGGAGTTCAAGCTATTAAGACTCCATCTATGATTTGAGTCTAGGTACAACATTTGAATCTTCACAAGACAAATTTAATTTGATGTTGTACTTGAATCACAAACTTGATGTTATAAATGAACTATTGTAGCATTTATTTATTTTAAATTTTTTATTATACATTTGACGGGCCCTCCACCAGCCCGCCAAAGCCCTTGGTTTAGGCGGGCGCAAATTATTCTATGGACCCGAGTCCGCTTTGCAAGGTGGATCCAGGTCCAAATGTTCACAAGTTACCTTTTAGAAATTCACAATATATATACTACGAACAGATAATGTTAACATATATGTACTTGATTACCTCGGTTTGTATTCATAAGTTCCTTTCAAATACTGCAATCACATAATATTAACATATTAGGATTTAATGACCCTCTAAAGCTATTATGTGTTTTGACTTAGAAACACAATTTATATTCTAAAAGTTCACAATTTCAATACTAAAAATACACAATTTATATGTTGTTTAGGACCCGCCAATAAAATAGGCCTAAAATATCAAAGCCCACCCAACCCTTTTGACAGAGCGGGGCGGGCTAAACCCGTTTTGACGATCCTAAAAAAATCTTATCAACATTTTTAAAGATAAAAAAATATATATATATATGGATCTTTTTTTGCTAAGAATTTGGTTATTGTTGACTATGGGAAATTAAACTGACCATCATGACTTCTTGAATTTTATTTTATTTTATTTTCGTGTTTTTGTTTTAAGATATAATAACTTCTACATGACAATAGGTTTTTTCATTGGGGTTGCTCTAATATTAATATTAATGGTATTAAAAAAGAAAAAAACTGACCTACCTCCAAATTGGATTCCAGCTTAATCACTTCAAATATATATGAATGAGAAACAGGCTAGCATCCCAAGTAGACAACTGTTAGGTAACAACTTGCAACTCGGTAGACAACGTTATGTCATCCACAAGTCTGGATTTAGCCTAATTAATCCCATATACTTAGGCCTAAGTTCAGTCATGATTTCGTCATTTCAATTTTTTTAAAAATTTAATTTCTGTCCACAAGTTGCCTCTGATCTTAATTAAAATAAAATATCCATTTCTAAACGAACTAACTAATTTATAAGAATTGTCAATCAATGGCATGAAGTGGTCTCCCAAGTGGGTCATGACTCATGAGTTTGAGTTCGAATGGGGGCGATATTGACTCTTTGTGTTTCAGTAGGTTGAGAAAGTATGTATGAACATATACTACATTGTAACAGAGCCAGTAATACTTAAAAAAAAAAACTAATTTATAAGAATTAATGTAAATTATATCACTGAATTATGTTTGTATTTTTTAAAATTGTTTTTCAAGCTATATATTATGTTGAAAATATTGTACTTTAATTTTTTCGGGCCAAATTAAGCTTACACATCTAAGTATTTCGTTTGTTAAGTTTTAATTACCAAATCAATTGTCTAATTGTATTGACCTAGAATGCATTACCTATCAAAATAATTTGCCTTTATTATTAAATACTATATTAAACCAAATATATTTTACTATGAAATATTATTTACGTACATATTTACCAATTATTGTTAGCCAGCGGTATGGAGGGTCGAGTTCAGCATCCTTCCACCGAAATGTGACACTAACTGCAGGGGCGGAGGTACGTGGGGGCTATGGGGGGCCTTGGCCTCCCCCACCCCCCACCCTCACCCCCACCCTATCCCTCTCTAACCTTTAAATTTTATTAAATATTTAAATATATATTATTATATTATGAATAAAAAAAAATTGACCTCTCTCAAATTTTCTTTTACAAAGTTTTACGTACTATATACTCCGTATTTATTAAATATAAGCCTAAAATGTACATTGAAGTTCAAATTCACCAAATAAAAAGAAATAAATCAAATATAATAAGTAATTAGTTAGTTATTATGCATTTTTACTATTTATTTACACTTTTAAGATGTATATTTGCTAAAGATCTTGTGACAATGCGGTATTGACTCGTTGGGAAATTAACATCAATGTCAATCATTACAGAAAGTATCATTATAAATTATTATATCAATAATAATATATAGTATACTTATGTATGGTATATATAATGATATCATGTATGACCGGTACTATTTTAATTTTTTTTATTTTATTTTTATGATTCTTGCCCCTCCTTACATGAGTTTCTGGCTCCGCCCCTGACTAATTGTTATACAAGTAAAAAAAAAAAATAAAGTTGTGTATTACTATACCTAACTAATCAATACAAATAAAGTTGACCAAAATTATCAACATTATCACTAATAAATAATCATTTACAACATTCAAAAAAAAAAAAATAAAATAATCATTTACAATATTTTACCAAAACAAACTTTTCTTTATTATAAATACTAGTTACAACACGCGTACTGTGTGAGTATTGGAGCGCATATAAAATACTAGTAGATAAATAAAATATGATAAAGATTATAACTTTGTCATTTATTTATTATATATTAATTTTTAAATTATTTTAATATAATCATAATTTTAACATTTTACATTCACTCTTATGCATTATCTATAAAAATATTAGGGTGTGTTTGGTTCATGGGTTTAGACAGAATCAAAATCATAGTTAGTGCTTGGTTGACAAATTTTTAAAACAGAACTATAGAGTTTGATTAACTCTTCAATTAAAAATCCAATTCCTTAATTAAAAGGGTATTATGTTAGATAATAAATTTAGACTAACATGAACTGTAGTAAACGAGTAACCTGCCTCGTTGCAGCGGAAGCTTTAGGATCGCCCGAATATCCCCAGCCATAGTTGTTGGTATTGTCTCTGGGATGGTAAACCTGCAAAATGGACATTAGTGTTTTGTCTACCACTTCTCTCCCGAATACTCGATGGTGCTTGTCTTCTGAACACGGGAGCTGTGGGAGGACTATTTTGCTTAGAAGCCTACATGCCATCAATGTAAGCAGATATTCAGTTAAAGCTTAACTGAATATCCTGAGTTGCCTAACAGACTAAGTCACTAACTGACTTAATATTCCACTTGCACCACAACCACTTAATTAATACAATATATTATAATATATTATATTAGGGAAAATACTTACATTTTATTCAATCTTATTGGTAATATATGATTTTTAAGATTGGATTAATGCTTTGAGATTTTTGTTTTTTGATTTTTTTTGTTCATATTGATGCTTCGGATGACATTATATTAGGATCAATTGTCTTGATTTTTTATTTTGTATTTTTAAGACATTTATTTCTCTTATAGAGTCATACATAACCAGATATCAATATTAGTAATCATTCCAATTCAACCCTACTACTAGACATGCAAAATACTTTCACTAAAATTTATACCATTACTAAATATTTAATTCTCATTCTAATTTCGATTATCATGTGTGAACCAAAGACGGTTTTTATTCAACAATCAACAACCACATCATTAGCAAAAGTCCACTATCGAATCCCATTGGGGGAGAGTCAAACGTCTGCAAACCAAACATATGATTCTCAAGACTTCAGACCAACCATCAAATATGTACATATTAACATATAGTCTCTCAATAGGTAAATATCTTAATACAACATGCTTGGAAATGAAGATTCCTCTGTAACTCATTACCTGCAATTTTCTGAATAGTCATTACTTCCGAATCACTCTTGAGCTTCACCAGATGTTTAATCCTTAAATAAATGTAATAAACACACAAGATTCTAAAAGAAAGAATTTAATTGTTTCAGATTTGAATAAATTTGTTCAGATGATATAGTAACTTAAATTCAAATTTATCACAATCTAGTACGATTATCAAATACCAATACTTTTTTATCAGAATATAAATTACTCATAAATCACTATTAGATGGGGGTTTAATGCTCTCTTAATCACAATAATAACATGTTAGAGTGATTTTTCAAAGCTTCACAAGTATACACCAAACAAAAAGAAACTAAAAGTCAAAATTAGAGCATTCTAAAGGGTCCTGTGTGGAAATTGATGATTCAAATATTGTGTCTTAAGATATTAAGAGTGGGTGGAAGTAAAGTAGAAGGAGGGGTTAGCCATAGCCATCATATGAAGCTGACTCCATAACAAAACCGTGTACACTGATAGCTCTAATTTCAATTCCATCCTTCGATATGTTTACACATTTTAGTAGTGAAAAGATACTCGTCATCTCATTCATCACAAACTAATACATTGTTTGACTTTTATTTTTATTTTTAAATCTTGGATGTAAAAGGTGAAATTATCGTCTCCATAACTCTCACACTATGATCAATCCCACATGGATTGTGGAGGAGTTAAATTACAATGACTCAACGATCATTTAAGTGAAAGTAATAGCTAGAGGAAAAGAAAGCAAAATTGATTTCTGTAGTAGCAGTGAGCGAACTGAGAGCATCTTAAACTGTGAAAACGAGATTGTGTGAAAGCAATACAAGCGTCGTACGGCTAAGCAAAGTAGCCTGAATGGAGTAAAAGACATTTTTAGTCCTAAATTTATAGTGGCTTGGACAATTTTAGTCCTTTATAAAAAAATTTGCCATTTTATGGACAAAGTTATTGTGGCGAGGACATTTTTGGTCCCCCGTCTATATTTCTGTTAGATAACCGTCAGAGAGGGGTAATTACGTCAATTTAGGCTATCTCCTTCTATCTATTATATCTATGTGTGTTTTGTTTTCTTCTCGGTCATAATTCGAAGGAGTCGGAGAGTCCAAGTTGCAGTTGTACGAAGAAATTACCGGAGAATCGAAGCCGCCAAACAGGTTACTAATCAAATAGATAGAAGGAGAATCGAAGCCGCCAAACACACATAGATATAATAGATAGAATGAGATAGCCTAAATTGACATAATTGCCCCTCTCATACGGTTATCTAACAGAAATATAGACGGAGGACCAAAAATGTCCTCGCCACAATAACTCTGTCCATAAAATGACAAAATTTTTTTATAAAGGACTAAAATTGTCCAAGCCACTATAAGTCTAGGACCAAAAATGACTTTTACTCGCCTGAATGCTACACCATAAATGGTGAAAGTCTAGTACATAGCCAAAATCATCACTAGCTAGCTTACGCTCTAAGATAACAAAGATCACCTTACAAAGCTAAATAATCTTTGGTGACGGATAGTGAAGTAGTACTGTGAGGACCAGTATCTATTGCCCACAAGAAAGTAAAACTCCATATTGCCGTTGCAATTGATTTTTTAATCTTGACATTATTTAATGGGGTGGGAGGTAAAATTTGACATCTAAATTATTTCTATATTACAATTTTAAACAAACATGTGACACCTTTCAAAAAACAAACATGTGACATTTATATGCGTGTGTGTATACACGTATACATATATTGATCCAGAAATGACTATGTAAAATATGGATTATTGTTCGTCATACGTGCCGGCCTTGACTGGTCGTTCGGTTGACCAATTGGCAATTTACCCCTCAGGCGTCCTTTAAAAACCCCATTCTAATTTGACTCTATATAACACTACTGTCTACTGCTATATTCTAGACAGATAACATAATTCCAATGTCTTGTTCCAACACCACAATACCCGCCGCCGATCACGGCGGAGCGACGGCGATCACCGCCGTCCATCCCGAGATTATTCAAACCCATATATTGAAAAGATTGGACGGCGCAACGCTTGCCTCCGCCGGCTCCGCCTTTTCGCAGCTACGCGCGCTTTGTTCGGAGGAGAATCTCTGGCGGGATATTTGCAACTCCACTTGGCCGTCAACCACCGACCCAATCCTCCGCCACGTCATCTCCGCCTTCCCGTCCGGCCACCGGTCGTTCTTTTCCGACGCTTTCCCCACCATTCATCATCACCGCCCCCGCCAGGGACCTCAGGAGGAGCACCACCACCACCACCGCCGCCGCCCGTCTCCGTCGCCGGAGCTCATCTCCGCCGTCGATATCCTCTACGGCGAGAAACTGATATACTCTAAGGTCATTGTCTCCGAAACCGCGTCCGGCTGGTTCCTGTCCTCCCCGTTCAGAATCGACCTTCTCAGCATGAAAGAGACGGTGCCGACGCCGGTGAAGTTCGACGGCGACGAGGCCACGACGGTGGCCCACCTGGAGGAACACCTCCGGCTGAGCTGGATCCTGATAGACCCGTCGGCAAAACGCGCCGTGAACATATCAAGCCTGAAGCCGGTAAACATCCGACGGCACTGGCTCACCGGAGACATAAAGATACGATTCGGCACGGTGGTTGACGGCGGCGGAATTAGCGACGAAGAGGTGGTGCAGTGCAGCGTGGTGGCCATGTGCGAGGGGAAGGAAGGAGGGGAGCTCCACGTGCGGGAGGTGAGCATGCAGGTGGAAGACGTGGACGGGAAAACCATGAACGGGAAGGACAGCATGGTAATTTTACAAGACGCCATGGAAAGAAAGAGGAAGAAAAGGGAAGAAGGAGAAGCGAAAGAAGGGTACAAGAAATTCGTGGAATACAAGAAACAATGGAGGGAGATAAAACAGAGAAGAGAGAATAGATTGGATATGGCGTGCATAGCTGGTGGAATTACCATTTTGATGGCTTTTTTTACCCTGGTTTTGCTGGGTTCAGAAAGGGGTAGAATTTACTTTTCACATTTATTTTAGTCACATCCCATTGAGACAGGCCACAATCCCATGCTACCGAAGTTGAAACTTTAGTCTCCTATTTTAAATACTGCCTACTAAATCAGAAGCTGGTTACGCAGCACATCCCATTTATTCATTTTATATATAGTTGGTTGGTTTATGATGAAAAATACACAATACACCTATTATAACATGTGTTGTACCAATATTCATTTTTCAAGTACATAAATAAAATATTTTTTAAGAACACTTAAATTTTCTTTTTACGAGAATTAAGAAAAAAATGAATATGTAGAGAAGAGAGGGGTGGGTTGGTCCTGTTAATTTGGGAATTTTGCAGAGGTTGAAGGGGTTTTGCAGGGATTTTTTCAGTTTTTTTTTTTTTTTTTTTTTTTTTTAATCTTTTTCATTCATTTCTCTTTCTTAATCACACCTACAAAAACTACACCAAGATTCTCACTGTTAAGGATGTCCTAAAAGTAATTGTCAAAGATGATAGACAAAAATAATAGTTTTGATCCTTAGTTATAAGGCACAATATATTGTTGGTACTTTTAGCATTTGAATTTTAGCATTTTGGAATTACAAAAAGCTAATTAACCAAATATTTATATTAATTTTTAACCAAGTCAAACAGCTAATAGTGGTCAAATAAATTAAAATTGACCTATAAGCTAACTATTTTATCAAAGAGGCAAAAATGGTAGCGTTTGAAGAATTAAAAGAGAAAAAAAAAAAGAACTCTAATTCTTATTTTGTAATAGAATTGATTCAAGTTTCTAATGTTGGGCAAGCATGTTGGTCCCCATTGCGCAATACTTAATAAGAGATTAAGCATGAATTGGGGAAAATATACCAGTGGACCCACCTAAAGTACTCCATCACTCCATGTTAGGTTATATGGCATTACAATTCCCATGGCGTCCACACCATTTCTTGGTCGTATTAAAAAAAATAATAATAATTAAGGGTGATTAGTAAAGTTGTTACCACGTCTTAATTTAATTTTTTTTTTTTTACTTTAATCATAAAATATTGTGATATTATCACATTTAATCATATTAATTGTTGGCTCATCGTAGAAGTGGTAGTCAACGCCGTCACCGGAGATATTGCGAGTCGTCCTGAAGCCAACACTATCATAGGTGATTGTAAAACTTTCATGAATCAGTTTGAAGCCTGTTAATCACGCATACCCTTCGGGAAGGAAACCGATGTGCAGACGCGTTGGCCAACTTGGGTCAAATTGGCAACTGGGGGACTACAATTTTTGACCTCTCTCTGGATGGGGTTCAAACAATCTTCCAAAGTGACGCTCAAGGCGTTGCAATCAGAAGAATCTACTAATCCTTTCTTGAACTCTTGTGTCCCTCTCTTTTACCGAAAAAAAATCATATTCTTTTAATTTTGTCTAATTATATCATTGACTTTCATTTGCTTACTATAATTAGTTATACATCCCAGTTGTCATTCCAAATGAGTGATCATAGATTCGAACTCCGATAAGTGGGGGCTTAGATTCTTTCAACTAAAAATGTTTGAGAAAGTATAGAACAAATACTAACTCGTAAAAAATCATCCGTATTTCAAAAAAAATAATTATCTGTTTAATTTTTTTGTCTTATTATTTAATAACGATGACTAACATATAATTTCATTATTCAAGCATATTGCTTCACTATGTAATTTCTCTCTCTTTTAAACTTTTTTAATTGAATGATAAATTTTATTAAACCATATATTATCCGATCAATGTAGCTAAGATAATAGAACTACAAATAGAGTATGCATACTATCTAAAGTACACAACACATACAATGCATACTATCTCAAGTACACATCAATTCTTTAAGGTTTGTCTTCATTTTAAGCAAGGCGATGGGGCCCATCAAATTAATTTAATAATGGACAAATATAGAGGTCTAATTGGCCTTTTGTCAATTTGGTTAGTTCTATAGCTTTCGCTGCTTCTCTTAATTATAATAATAAGTGGTCGATCTTAACCTAATTGGATGTGACATTAATAATAATAATAAATAAATAAATAAATAATAATAATAATAATAATAATAATAATAAGAGATAAGGGTCGACCATTCAACTGTAAGTCAAAGTGCAATTAGTCCCATAAACTAACAAAAGTTTCAATTACGCCCTTCATCTCTTCACTTGTATGTAATTATGTCCACAAAATTTTAAATTCGTACAATTAGCTCTATTTATAGATAACACAATGTAATAGCAGGTCAAATTGATTTTTAAAAAGAATTTACCAAAACAAATAACTGAAAAGTTAGACGGCCGGTTCCAGTTGGATGGAGAAGTCAGATCGGTTTCTCCGTCCAACTACCAGGACGGAGAAGCCATGGCCTGCTTCTCTGTCCGGTTGGATGGAGAGCTGAGTTTTTTTTTTTTAATTTATTAATTTATTTGAATTAAAAATATATTTTTTATTTTAATTAAATAAAAAATTACCTATAATTTAAATGTAACAAGTTAATTAATTTAATTGCATAAAAGTGAAAAGATGAAGGATCTAATTGAAATTTTTGTTAGTTTAAGTGATTAATTACACTTTAACTTATAATTGAAGGGCCTATTTGATCTTTAGGGCATCCTCAATAGTGTGAATATTTTGAGGAGATTTTACAGGTGTGATTAGGAAAGAGAAGATGAGAGTGAAATGAAAAAGAGAGAAAAAAAAAAAGGAAAATCAATATATGAAAAGTAAAAAAAAAAAAAAAAGTAAAAAAAAATTAAATTGAGGTGTTTAAACGCGTTGCAATTTTCGTGCAACTCACACTGCATGAGGCAGCTGTCTTTTATTCCAGTGGGGCCTACCATCTCTGCAAAATCCCTCACCTCCTGCAACACCCCAAACTCTTATCTCTCTTCCTTATCACTCCTCTACATGTAAACTACACCTGCAAAATCCATGTAAAATCTCCTTAATGGAGATGCCCTTATCCTTAATAAAAGAAAATTTTAATTTTGGTCATATAACTATAGGGGCTTTGTTAATTTTAGCACCTGACTTTTAAAGGTGTCAATTTAGTACCTTGATTATGCAAATTTTATCAATTTTGATCACTCCGGTCAAATTACCGGCCAAATTTCGCCGAAAAATTTTAACAGTTAAAATAATGAGGGTATTTTAATAATTTCACATATCTTCAATCATTTTCCCCGACTAAGCTTCTTCCCGACGACAACCACTCCACGCCGCCGCCCAAAATCCCATCTTTGAGTGCAGTTTCCATATCCAAAACCTGTGCCACACTTTCCCCTGATTCATACGCATTTTCTGCCCAAAACTTAGCCCCCAACAACCTTAAATACAGAAAAAAAAAATCAATCTTACTCAAAACACAGTACACGAAGCGTGTGGATAAAGAAGAGAGCTTACACTCTCTTTCGTTCATTGTTTCGCTTTCTCGCCCATTGACAAATGCTAGTACCACAATCAAGATTCGACGTCAAGGGAACATATTTTCCTCCTTTATCGAGCTTTACCGAAACTCTTTTTTCCTAGTCAAAAGCGCAACAATGTTCATTTTCGCCATTATTATCATGATAATAAAAAGGAAGGGGCCGAAGATGACACAGATTGCCAATCAAAAAAATGCATGAGTCAAACCGGAAGGTGTGCTGCTGCGACGGATTCGCGGAAAAAGATGAATTCGCCGGAGAAGAAGGAAGAGATGTGAAATGACTAAAATACTCTCATTATTTTAATTCTTAAAATTTTTCGGCGAAATTTGGCCGGCAATTTAACCGGAGTGACCAAAATTGATGAAAATTACATAGTCAAGGTACTAAATTGACACTTTTAAAAATCAGGTGCTGATATTAACAAAGTCCTTAAAGTCATATGACCAAAATTGAAATTTTCTCTACTTAATAATAATAATAATAATAATTGGCGTTGAATTGAATATTCTAAATCAAAAAGGACGGCAGCAGAGCCGGACCGGCGGACAGCCGCTTAGTCCATTTTGGATACCTTTTGAATGCTGGCTTCGACCTAATACAGTGGTCCTTTTTTAAATATTTTTATTTTTATATAATACTCCGTATCTTACATTATGCGATAATGTAAGTTGAATTGTTGGACGTTTAAATTATCGTTTTCAATTATAGCATCCTTTTGATTGAAGATAATTAAAATTCTACTTCTAGTTAATTGTGAAAGTAAAAATAAAAAATAAAAATCCATTGGATTGCAATTTTCTTATTTTCACATAATTAGAATTTCATACATTTCTTTGTGTATTTTTAATTTTATGATTTTTGGGAGAAAAAGAAGAAGATATTTTTGAGACAAAATTATTATTCCCTTTTTCTAATTTAAAGTTGATATTTCATCCGTTTCTTTTTCTATAATAAATATGAGTATTTTGACCTTTATACTACTTATTCTCTTTCAATTTTCATGGGTATCAAACTCAAGAACTGAAATTCTCAATAATTTTATTAATGCAAAACAAACATTGGGATTTAAATTTTCACTTTATCATTATTTCTCTCCCATAGAGTTAAAATTCCGCTCTAATTCCCTCATTGCACCCAAACGTCCCGTTACATGTGTAATTTATTAGATTTTTAATTATTAAATGTAATAAATATAAGCAAATTGAATGGTAATGAGTATAGTTGAATCTTATTTTAATATACTCTAGTCAAAATGCTAATATAATATGGAGTATGTTATCTACTAGCCAATTCACTAATCGCTAATTACCAAAGTAGACCTATATTTTTATCATTCTTTAAGTATTGTTGTTAATTGGGTTACTTAACTTAAGTGCGAGTGTACCCGGTAGAAGACCCAACACTTATTATATATTATTATATAAATTGTTTAGTAAATTTTCTTATCATTTCATGCCAAAATCATTCTCAACTGTTTTCCTTTTTTAATTGTAATTTCTCGTCCTCACTTCTTTCTCATTCACATGAAATCCTTTCCTTCTCATTATGTATTTTACTATTAAGATATCCATAACGAAGCGTCTGGTTGGAGGAAATTACATTCTATCATCACCTAATTCTTATATAATTCTGAAAGCAATAGTTGGAGGGGACGTCAATTTTCCGGAATTACAATTCTCTCATTTTCATTGAATTAGAATCTCATACCCCCCTTCCCTCCCCCTGGTATTTCAATCATGTGGTTTTTGTGAAGAAAAAAAAAATCTTGAGACAAAATTATCATTTTTAAACCTAAAACTTATGTCTGACTTCTTCCTCTCAACATATATAGAATGTTAATTAGTAGGCCAACCTCAATCAAGTATGTGTTTTATTTTATTGCTTTAAATTTAATTCCAAAGTTTATTTACCGCGTGTTGCATAAGTTTTCAAAAGTATATTTTTAAATTTGGTTTGCGTGTTTTCAATAGCAAAATTTGTATTTTGTATAGAAATACCGTATAGGTATTGCATATTTGCCTAAATTTTCAACACTAACATTTTCATTCTTTCTATGCACTCTCTCAACATATATAGAATGTTAATCAGTAGGCCAACCTCAATCAAGTATGTGTTTTATTTTATTGCTTTCAATTTAATTCCAGACTTTATTTACCGCGTGTTGCATAAATTTTTAAATTTGGTTTGTGTGTTTTCAATAGCAAAATTTGTATTTTGTATAAGAATACCGTATAGGTATAGCATATTTGCCTAAATTTTTAACACTAAAATTTTCATTCTTTCTATGCACCAGCCGATGGTGTATGGGCATCAATAACAATAATAATAATAACAATAATAATAATAATAATAATAATAATAATAATAATAATAATAATTTCGGACTTTATATTACTTCTTCCTTTTAAATTCTTGTGTATAGCAAATATTGAAATTGAAACTCACACTAATTCTATTTCTGCAAGCCAAACACTTGAATTTAAATTTTTATTTTATTCCCATATTATTCTTCTCCCATTAAATTATAATTTCTTTTCTCTCCTAACGCTCCATTTGACTCCAATGTCCACCACAATGCATGAAAATATTCATCTTTGCTTCCAAAGCTTTCCAAATCAAACTCCTTGCAAAATAACACAATTTAGTCCCTAATCTCATGAAATTTGGAATGATCTATATGCAAAATGGCTTAGTGAAAATGGGTAAAATATATACAAATAAGCACTTATCAGTTGTGTTTGGAATTGTAAGTAATAATGAGTATAAAGATCAATATGCCTCTACAAAATAATAACGATGATAAAAGTAACAGTAATTTATAAATTGAAATATTATGGAGCACAATTTATAATTAAAATATAATAAAATTAAAATATTAAAATAATATATTTTTGAAATACTCATTATTCTTTTCTATTAGAATTATATATTTAAATAAGCATTATTTGATAACTTTCATCTCCAAACTATGCTCAATACAATCAAATCATATGAAGATAGTTTGGTCATGTTAGGTTAGACTTTGTTCCCAAATGCCATTAAAAAGAAGATACCTAAGATTAACAAAAATATTTAAAAAAAAAAAAAAATCCTCATATTTGAGGAATTCAAGTTCCTTTGGAAAAAAAAAAAAAAAAATCAATGAACCAAACAAAGCATAATATAATTCTCATCCACTTTTAAGAATTCTAGTTCATTGGAAAAAAAATGCCCACTTTTTTATTTTTTATTTTTTATTTTTTTTAATGTTGTTTGGTTGATGGAAAAATATTTTCAATAAAATTTGAATTCCTCAATTTTGAGACATTGAGAAGAAATGTCTCACACCTTTAGTTTTGTAATTTCTTTTCCAAAGTCATTGAGAAGAAATGTCAACATAGTGAGACAAAAGTTACCATAATACATCTTTGATAATTAGTCCATATTATTATGTAAGGGTATGTTACTTTATACACACTATTTCTTGTATCAATACTCCCATATATCAAATAATAAAATTAATATTCCTATTAATTTTTTTCTATTAAATTTAAATTCGTTTCCTCAATTTTTTTTTTTTTTTTTTTTTTTGGCGAATCAAACGGAGTGTTATTGTTATTGTTATTGTCATCAGTCAATATATTTTATTTGGGTTGGTCAACCTGGTTGTCAGCCCAAATATTATTGTCTTGGGCTAAACACAGTTTACTTTTGCCGAACAAAATATAACAGCCCGTTTAGTTCGCTAGAAAATATTTGAAGGGAAATGAAATTAAAATTTCATGGAGAATAAATTTCAACAAAATTGATTCAATTATTTGGTTGGTGGAAATGAAATTACTAGAAATATGTATTCCATTGTTTGGTTAAGTTTAGAAAGATAATGAATAATGAATATAAAGACCAATATGCCCTTAAAAAGATGAATGAATAAATAGGTGTCTATGTAATTAAGAAACTTTCACAAGACCCGTATGGGCAGCTCAACTGGTCACAGAGGTGAAACTTTGGAAGAATGATCAGAGATTGAGTCTCACCAGCGGCAGTGTGGAAGCAACCTCTCAAAGTGAGGGGGGTACCTTGTGTGTAGTAAGCACCGGTCTCAAATGCTCTGTCGGGTCGGAGTGCGGGAGCAACCCTTATGGTTGGGGTTCAGCCTTTTTTTGTGGAAAACATCCCACCCCTTTGCAAATAATTTATTTTCCCCAACTTTGAGGAATTCATTTTCCAATGGAAAATGTTTTCTATCCAACCAAACAACATAAATCAACATTTTCCTTCACTTTTAAGAAAACATTTTCCACACCCCCTAATTGTTTTCGGATTAGTGCGGTCTTGTCCACCATAAATCGGAATGAAAGTACAGAATAGGAAATCAAATAAAAAATAATAATGTGTAGCTACTGAGAGTCAAACCTTGGTGTTATTATATGAACTAATGATCACAAGCCATTAAACTACAGGATGTTGTAAACCAGTGGATGATGTCTAAAGGGAGACATCAAGCCTCTTAATTACATAGTGTTGAGGATCTTCCAGATGATTGACAAATGTACGGCATCGGCTAATTTTCATTCTTGATCACACATGTGTCCTCCCCACTATTTTGCTTCCAGCACACTCGCATAAGTGGAGCTTCCTACCATCTAGAATACAAGATAAGTAGTGGCTTAGTGAGTTGAGGTTTATGTTGCTTTGTGGAGGTAGCGGGCTTGATACTCATTGCGGGGTTAATGTTTAATTTGCTCCCTTTCACAGCCCTTTTCAACTTCTTGGGCCATCATTCTTCTCTGTTACTTCTTAGGCCAAGACTTTCCCAATAAAATAGGGCCTATTGCCTAGTACATTTTTATTATACAGTACTAAAGTTACATTTTTAATACACTAAAATTTATTTTTTGAAAATACATTATTTAGTATATTATTTAATAATATATATTCAATACATAAATAATATATACTCAATATATTAAAAAATATATTTATTTATTTATGATCCACAATATAATTTGCGCATAGCTTTGGCCATGGTCGCGTTCCTCAATTCTGGGCTTCTGTCTGCTGTGCTCCGTTTCGTTACTATGGAGAGAGTGTGTGTCTGATTGTGATTTGTTATTTGTGATTTGTGAGTAGGGTGGTGTTATTCAAATTATTTGAAATGAGATTTGAAATAAATTTTGGATTTTGAATAATTTTTTTAGTACTAATCATCAATACTGTTCTTACTAGAGTTTGAATTCATGACTTCTAATTTAAGAGAGTCACTTTGTGTTATTAAACCACAATCAATTAATACGTCATTAATGAATTTTTAAAATGTATGTAATAAGTTTACAATTTGTTAAAAAAAAAATATTTTTTCTAAAAAATAGTAAGTCGATAAAAGATTATGTTAGAGAATACCGAAAAGAGTCTTTGTTTGCATCCCATTTAAGTTATTTGGAAACTTTAGATAAGAGATTTGAGTTGTCAAGTAGGAATGGCAACGGAGCATACTTGGTTCCCTCATTTCCTGAATTTCTAAGAAGGGATTTCTTGGACTACTGATTGCACGAATCTCCGGTCTCGACAATCCTTTATAGTTTCATTAGATTGGGTCTTCACCGTGTGAGGTATATCGTACATTGGGTTGGGAATGCATTCTCTTACCGTCTATATGATTTGCTGTTGAGATAGTGGATTGGATGAACTGGTATGTAGTGGTCCCCAAACGTAGATATGATTGTATCGAACTATGTAAACGAACAATATTTTGTGTCCTTTACTTTCTGTTTGATTTACATTCCGCACTCAGTCGTATCGCTGTTGCAATAACTGTTCGAACAAACGAGTTTAGGTTTGCGATAAGACAATCTATAAGACAAATAAGTCAGTACGATAACCAGGATTATTGAATATCACTGATACACGAAATCACAACATCCCCTTTGTTCATAATATTATTGTGGCATGACTATTTTTTATTCTCCATCAATAAAATCGTTTAAATCCTCTAATATAAAAAAGCCATAAGAAGCAGTAAATGCAATTTTGGCAAAAATTCCCGCCCAAGCAAAAACGACAGCGTTTAGTACTGTATTCCATATGATATATTTCAGTTTCACAAGAAAGGTGCATGCTTTGGTTTTAGAAATTATTTACTTCACCGTCCAAATCTTGGTTTTAGAAACAATATTAATTGAGCAGCTGTAGATTAATTGCTGCAACACTGCTGTTTAGTTTATCGAATCACCGAACCGCCGAACCCATTTAATTTTCCGGAAGCGTGACCATTAGTTCACAACTCTTCCATTACAAAGTCTATATAATACAGGCTTAATTTCCGAATACAAACATTTGCAAAACCAGTTGCTTCTTGGTCGTGATTTATCAAGCTTCAAATCAAGAAGCGCTATAACGGTAAGGGTAGTACGTACATATGGAGTGATGGAAAGGTAGTGGTTGAAAGGAAAGGGTCGAACAAAGAAGTTGTTTTCCATGATAAAGAGGTACATGCGTCTAACATATTACGTACTTTTCATCAACAAATGAATTTTACATATTGCTTATAGTTGTTTTCATTACAGGGCACTGATATATATATATATGCTCATATACCAAAACCGTATTTAGAAAAGTTCATGTCCAGAATTGTAGAACAAAAGGTCTATGGTGTCAAGAATTTCTCTGCCATTACAAAACTAGCATGCACCCATATATGTTAAAATTCAACCATGAAATAGTACGTATTGAAAGAATTGAATGACCAATAATTTCCATGGCATATGTATCGTCTATGGTCCTTCCACAGTTTGAAAGGTAATCCACATGAGAAAGAGCTTGGTAAGATTTCTTACTTATAAGGTCGGTTTTCTTGCTTTGTTTTTTTGTGTGTAAATAATTATAAAAACAGCTCTTATTGGTCTTTTTTTAATCTGCATGATTTTAATAGATGTCGTTGGTCATGTTGTTGAGATCTATTTTCCCCAAGATAATGCTATTGGTAGAGAAACATGTAGGCTTATTGATTTTGTAATAGAAGATTCACAGTAAGGAACTGTTTTATTTAAATGTTTTTTTTTTTGTATTCTTTTTTGTAGTATTTTTTATGTTTTGCAGGAATCAAAGCTATTTTACAGAGCAGTATGTACCATCCTAGATGTTCAATGGTATCTTAATGTTGCAGACTTAAGAATATTATCCAGTAAAGGTACATTGTATGTATCAGTTTTTCTCTTTTAGTTAGGTCCATTGTTCATATAACATGAACTATTGAATAGTGAAGACTAATTATACTCCGGCTAACATAGTAGCATAATAGCATGTACCAGAGTTTTTGATTTTTTATTGTAAGTCAATAGTTACAATAACATTGACTATGGGATCTGTATTTTAAGAAGACAGTTGTTTTACTTCTCATTTACACAAATCATAAGTCCATAGTTACAATATAAATCACTATGGAATCTGACATTTTAAGAAGAAAGTTGTGGTGCCTCTATTTTCAAGCCCAGCTTAAATTAAGTGTTATTGTAATGAGTAATTTAAACAACAACATTTTATGTAGAGTGAAAAATTGTGTCAAAGTACAAATTCTGTAAGAGTAGATTAACTAATCGCATTAAAAAGTTGAAACATTTAAGAAGCACACTAATTGAATCCAGTAAAAAACACACTCACATAAAACTTTATTATCAATTGAAATTGCAAACATAAACTAGAATTTAATGGCTTGGAGCACATACCTATTGATGACAGCAAGTGTAAGAATACAGAATGTGGGCATGCTATATAATATGGTATCTTCCTCACCGTGCAAGAGTTCATTAAAAAAGAGCTCACATTCAAAGTAATGAGAACTGTTTCATGTAGATTATGCAATTGTTATATCAAATGGAGTTGCAAAATTTTGAAAAAATGCACATAGGAAATACATATGTACCAGTATGCTCAAATATCTACGACTATCTCATAGATATGTATCCCATCAGATTTAAGATTGTCATTCAAATTTCAAATAAGACAATTCCTCTTATGTTGTCATACGCAATGACAATCAAAAGTAAGGACAAACACTGTCTAATGTAGGTTTGTTGTTGAAGAAATCAGTGTTTGTACATGGTTAATTGTATGTCGTCCAGAGTTAGCAACCCTAAGGGTTTAAAAATTTTAGTTGCAAATGAAGGTTTGACGAGTTGTAGTTCAACTACTAATGTTGTGTATCACGAAGTATTTAATAATTTGTAATTTTATTTCATTGTTTATTATCTTTTGTCATGCCTTACTTTGTATACTAATTTGGAATATATTTATTTCTAATTAACAACTTCTTTTAATATCTTTATACATAAAACTTCTCCACAAATTTCAAGAATCAATATCTTTACAAAATATTCTTTATGTTAATATTAAAATAACTTAACTTAACATTGTATAATTCTTATCCGTGCATCGCACGGGACAATTACTAGTTCTGTAAAATACAATAACATTTCGCTAATTAATTATGATTTACCTTAAAAAAATACTTATTAATTATATAGAAAAAAAAAAGAGTTAAATAATAATACATAAATAAGTTATAGTATGAAGTAATTTTAAAAGGAGTTAATAAGTTATAGTATGAAGTAATTTTAAAAGGAGTTTGTAGCATGGTGAAAGGGTGCAAACTGCAAAGGCGATGAAGTTAGCAGATACATACAGAGATGCAGTGCATAAATGAGGACAACATTTTCCGGCCGTTAACGGGGCCTACTCCGACCACAACTCTGACAAAAACTCTTACATACGACGTGATCTACTCCTCTACCTATTAACTCCAACTTCTAGACCGTTGGAGAGCCCAAACCAAATCAAATTTCTGCAAATCCTCTCATTTATTACTGCAATTTCCGCCCATACTTCTACTTCTATCCTCCCATATTAAAGACTCACTCCCTCATGTTTGCTTCGCCCTTCTCTCCCAACCCAAAATCAAAGATCGGAGCTTTCGCAGTGATTGCTTTGATTGAGAATGCCTTGGCAAAGTGCGATTGAGAATGGAAGAAATGGAGGGAATTGCTGCAAGGTGAGGAAGAGGGGAGGGTCGTCGTCGTCGTCTTCAACCGTGAGGAGTTACCGGTTGAAACGGGCGGTTTTGGTCGGGAAGAGAGGCGGCGGGTCAACCGCACCGGCGCCGGAGTTTAGTACGACGACCACATCAGCAATACCGCAAAGTGATGCCGATAAGTCATGTAACTACTCGGAGAAAGAGAGAGAATTGTTGGTTTCTGCGCGGAAATTGGCTGCTAATTTGTGGCAGATTAATGGGTTGAAGGGGGAGAGTAATGTGGAGGAAAGGGGTGAAGTGAAATTGGGTAGGAAAGAGAGGGTTTTGAAGGAAAATTCAAAAGCTTCGCAGTCTGATGATCATTCTCAGGTGGGGTAGTGTGATTTTTTTCTAAGAAAATTCAAGTTTTTTGAAGCCATTCATGTGATTTTTGGATCTTGAATGAATCTTTCGAGTTAATTAACAACTTCTTCTTACTTAGTTACTTTTGATTGATTTTGCAGGGAATTGACAAGATTCTGCAGACTGATTACCCATTTGAAAGTGATTGCTTTATGAAGGTAACTAGTAAATGCTCACATTTCTCATCATGCTTTTATGAGAATTAACATACTATGTCCTTTAATCCCGACCAAGTTGGTTGAATTGTTGATTAGGTAACTATAAAATTACAACTTTAATTTTCAATGTGAACGGCTTATTAGCTTTCTTGGTTTGAACTGGTCAGCTATAGACAATCTATGTTAATTTACTTTCTTGACTCTTGTGATTTTTTGCTGGCTAAGATCACAAGCATGGTTTAACCAATGTACACCTTAAGGTTTGAACCTTTCAGTTACGGGCAACCTAAACTGATTTATTTCTTTGTGATTCTTTGCGGGTTAAGGTCACAAATGTAGATAGTGACTGCAGATTTTCCTCGTCACAAACAAAAAACATACTCTAATCTTGAACAACGTTAATCTTGAGAATTAACAGAGCAGAAACCGATTGAAAGATATCCGCCATGGCCTCAGCACCTCAAAACAGCTACTAGAAGTTGTGAGTCACATTTGGTCTCTTGAGGAGCAGCAATCCACTTGTTTGACCCTCTTCTCCGCCCTCAAATCCGAGCTCGATCGAGCAAGTATTCATGTGAGCAAACTGATGAAAGAACAGAAACACAACCATGGCGCCATAGATATTCTGGTGGAGCAGTTTGAGAAGGAGAAAGCAGGCTGGAAGATGAGGGAAGAATACAGGCTTCAGAGTGCCATCACAACCATTTCTGGAGATCTGGAGACAGAGAAGAAGCTGAGAAGACAGACAGAGAGGCTGAACAGGAAGCTTGGCAAAGAATTGGCTGACACAAGGGCATCTCTATTGAAGGCAACCAAAGAGGTGGAGAGTGAGAAGAGAGGAAATGAAATCTTGGAGAGTAAGAGCTATGGAGAATGGAGTTGTGATTCAAAAGCTTGGAAAAGGGATTGTAAAGGTGATGAATCTGAGAGATACAATAGGAGGAGGATTAGAAACCTGAAAGAGCAGATAGTTTGTGGTTCAAGAACATCCTCCCAAGATTTCACCTTCATATGAAGCTAAGCTAGGAAGTGTTTGTATTAAAGTAGTAACAAATTAAAGCTTGCAACCTAATGGTAGACATGGATAAAGTTGAAGTCACTTGTGTAGAAGTACTTAATTGAATCCCTACTCTTTAGATCATGGCATTATTTTACACATAAGTTCAATAATCACCACATCATTATGGTTTTGGTGTTTCCCTCAATTGTATGTATGAAAACTCCATTACTTCACATCCAATTCTTTCACACATTGGGGAAGTTTTTGGTTTAGACACTACTGGAAATTATTGAATTTCCGACCACCTGAAAGTGATTTTAAATCATTTCGAAAACAAAAAGGGGTTGGAAATAGCAACAAAGGTTTTTCCGGATACCAAAAGTGGTCGGAATAAGGCTTTCGACTTGATTTAAGATCACTTTGAGGTGGTCGGAAATTCCATAATTTCCAGCAGTGAGATCATCACATTTTACGACTAATTACAAAAGTAAAAAGTGTTAGCTCTAGTCATATTGGAGCAGGGCCGGCTCTCTTAAGGGAGAAAACTGACAGCCTTTTATGTACTTAGCAAGCTTGCTATATACGTAAGATTATAAATAATAATAAAAAAATCTATGTAGCATGTCAAATCATCTTGCAAATAGGTATATTAGCTGGGATAATGTCAGTCTGTATTAAAAAGTAAAAAAAGAAAAAATTATTTGGAGTAATTTTTTGGTATAAGCTTTTTGCATTTTTCTTTTTATGTTGGGTTAGTGTACAAACTACTTAATTATGAGAGTGCAAGCAGCCCTACAAATTGACACCTTACAACATTTGTGAAGCAAATACTTCCTATATTTGGCATCATAAAAAGGAAGCATCACGCCCAAATGCTACTGCTGCATAACTGCCTCTTTATTTCATTAATAATTAATATAATATTTGTAATTATAAAAACGATGTGTGGAATATCTATGCATTAAATTATTATGTAAATAATAGAAATAAATTATCACCATACCTAAAAAAAATGCATTTCAAATTTAGTAGTTTGGAAGTGGATTGTAAATAATGCAAATTGTAAAATCAGAGTATCGTAGATAGAAAATGTATCTCAATAATTATAAAGTAGTAAATTAAAGTAATTCAATAATTCATTTAGTAAAAGAATCAGTGTCTAATGTCTATAACTCTCAAGCACTCAAGCTCGATCCAATGTTATTACTTGCAATCTAACACACAAATATAAAATGAGATCTTTGTGCCTAGTATGATTTTTATATTTAAAAAGTAGTAATTTGAATTTTTTAGTAGATTTTTTTTTTTTATTTCTCTACAATTTAATTAATCAGTAAAAAGCAAAAAAAATTGTTCTGTACTTTTTCCGCCATTAAAGCGAGTAAACAGGGGATAAGACACTGTTTTTCTCTGATTTCCTGCCTTCATACGTTGTCCTAACCTGTCATCACTGCCGTCTCCCCAAAATCATCGCCCGACATTCGCACCCCTGAACCAATCTTTATTCTAGTACTATCGCTGCTCTACAGACCAGTATTTCCAAATTAGATCCTATTACCAGGAGAAATAGGGAATACCCACACAGGATTCTTTGCAAAGGGAAAAAATTTAGTACAACTTTACTTCAATCCGTTGAAATTTTTGGGAGGGCTTCAGATTCCTACCCAGAATTAGATGATCTTCGGCTCCGATAGGTAAATTTTCTTTTTGCTACTAAATGTGGTGGGAATTGAAGAACAATCATGACTTTTAAAGCTCAAGAAATCGTTGTGAAACTTACTTCCAATTTTGTGTTTTTGTTTCTGAAGTTCTTTCATTGTTATCTCGGGAATTAAGTAGCATATGGGCTGTTCTTGAATCTAGGGATCTTTAGAAAATAATTTTTCCAGAGATGTTTTAAAGTTTGGGTTTTTTTAAAACACCATTTTCAGTTCACTTTCATTTATGAGATCCTTTTCTTGTTTCTCTTAAGATTTTAGGTGAAGATTTCTTTAATTTGGGGTTTCCTTTGAGTTGGAGAAAATCTAGTTCAGTATGCATATTGCTTACTCTATTGAATTGCAACTATACTTGCGTCCCGAGTTCTGCTAGATTACAAAAGCTAACTTGGGGGAATTCTCAAGGTGTGGTATTTATGCTAACTAATGATTGAGAACTTTACTTTTAAATGTTGCAATCTTCACTTGATCCTAATTGCTGCTCTAAAATGGCATTTCTTTGATTCTCGATTCTTGGATGTAAGGCTCTGGATTATATGCTTGTTGCCTAAAGATATAAATCTGCAAGTTTTACTTCTATGCATATTGTTTGTCCAGTGTGAGATGCAGTTTTACTCTTGCATGTGGAATATTAGAATGGATATTGTTTTGTGCTTACTTTATGTTTTTGGGATTTTGGCAGGTCTTTTGAGAACATACTTTAATAATGTCGAGACCAATGCTTCTTGTATTTATGTTGTTAATACTCATAATCACATCTCAGTTTGAGTGGAAACAGCAGCTCATAAGTGATGTTGAATCGAGTCCTAGTATATCTCAGAAACAGCAGCAGATTTCTCAGAGAGAAGAAGCCGTAAAAGAAAAGGTATCGATATAGCAATGTGTTATCGTGGATCTTGATTTGAATTTAAGATACTGATCTAGTTGATATTCATCGTTATGCATTGAACGTCTGTGATGTGAAATTGTTTAAAGAATTTACTAGAGTTTTCTAAAATTGCAGTTAGGAACTTCATGGATATTAAAACCATTGAGTTTTTATCTCCAACTTGTTGATTGAGTCCTATTGTTTTAGCTATTGGGGGTGTTTGGTAAATAGCTGAGCTGATAGCTGATTGGGTTAGTGGGTTTGACTAATTGATAACATTAGCTGATTGTAGAACGATGTTTGGTAAATTAGCTGTTAGTTGATAGCTGATTACATGCAAAATGACTTTCCCAAAAAGCTGATCGATTTTGAATTTTAACGTTTTAGAGCAATAAGCTGTTACAAAAAGCTAATTAATCAAACACTTATATTGGTTCTTTAACCAAGTCAAACAGCTAATAGTGGTCAAATAAGCCAAAATTGGTTAATAGGCTAACTATGTTACCAAACAGGGCTATTGTCTTAGAAGATCAACATTTTCCATTAAGCATTGTGCTTATGGCCGTAGTTATTGAAGTACTCTTTATCTATTTATGGAATAAATGTCTGACAATCCTATGGCTATCCAAACTAGAAAGCAAAAGTTATGATTTTTGTACATTTTAATAGACACTTGTGTAACTAAGTCGTACTGTGTGTTTCATTACTTATAATGGAGAAGGAAATATTAAAAGAAAGAAAGAAAACGAAGAAGAAGAATGCTCATAGGATATGTAGACCGGTTGCTTTATGTGGCCCAGACCTGACAGTTTTTTCAAGAAAGGAAGTTATAGAACTCATCGGCTAGCTCAGATATCATGACATATAATGAATTTTAACCTCAATGTGGGATTACCTTATGATGTCTCGTAATCTTACTGCAACCTGACATCCAAGTTAGGCATTTCTTAGTTAGGATCCTAGAGCAGGCTAGCAGCTACTATAATGCAATAACTAATGTACATCGTATAAGCAATAGAGATCTTTCTTAGAGCTATAATGTAGGATTGCATTTAAGATTCTTGCCCTTTTGGACAACAAAGTGAATGTCTGTTGGAATTATTAAATATCTATCTAGTTTAAGAAAAAGAAACAAATATATTCATCGATACATTATAAATTCTTAATTTCTCAAACATTATCTTTCAAACGTTGGTATCCACTTCTACATGTCTCCTTATTTAATTCTGTTTCTTGAGTTTATCCTCTTTGGGCTCACCTTGTAACATCTGGCATAGACTCATTGGCAACTTTAGGTTTTGGAACATTTTGGTGTGTGGTTCACAGTATTCAATGGGAGTTGTTAAAGCCTTGCATGTGTGGTTGTTAATGGTGGTTGATGGCAGTTATTAGACACTACTGCCCTATTGTGTCACTCACTGACTTACCTTCATGACATTTATTGGTCTCAGTTATATTTCACCCTTTACCCTAAGTTTTATTGCTTAATGCCTCCATTTTCCCGTTCTTGTTCTCTTCTGTGATTAATGTTGGATTTCCCCCGACCTCTTGAATTTTACCTGCTGAAATAATGCTTCCACGTTGCCCAACTTTTTTTTTGGGTAAGAAACCCGAGGCCCGAGGGTGTACATTGGGTAAACTCTGTCTTGTGACCCTAGCCAGCAAAGAACCAATAGGAGGTACACCAGCCTAGTTTGCTCATTGTTGACAGGCCAATAAGCTGTTCTCACTGGGAGTCGAATTTGGAACCTTGTGGTTACCAAACAACAGTCTGACCAATTCGGCTGGGGTGCCCCATATTATCGAACTTTTCTTAAAGAAGATTATAGATCAGTAACCGCAGAGTAGTAGTTCCAACTTCCAAAAACGGAAATAGCGTGCAATAATTTTTGGAAGTATTCTTGGTATTCAAATGTGACGCTTATATGTACCATAAGAATGAAAACTTCTGAGATATTTCAGTTGCGCTTTGCCAGATTATCTTGTCGCAGGAGAAGCACATCCAGAGACTGAACGAACTCGTGCAAAGTCTCCGGGAACAGTTGCAGCAGTGCAAGAGTAACAACGAGACAATGAATGGCGGTCTTAGTTCCTTGGCAGAGAACGTTATTGAACTCGAACGGCAGCAAATTCTCGAGGACTAGGTGGCAACACTGTAAACTCTGCCACCCTTAATCATATATGTTGTTGATTGGTATCCTTTTATCAACTAATTTTTTTTTCCTGTGTTGTAAACTGTAAAGTGAATAAAGAAAGATAACTTCCTCTAACCAGAAAATGCAAACATCAAGACAAGATGAGTTGTACTGTCCATGTTAATAGGTAAGAACAACTTTGTCTGAAAACATATCTGAAATGTCAACAAACAAACCATTCTAGTAGATTCCATGAGTAAATATTGTTAATCTACTATATTGAATGCTTTGGTTTGGTAATTCAATCTCATATCAAGATAACACTATTTCTAGGTTAACTTCAACCAAGTTGGTCAGGTTTTTTGTTTCAACTAATTCAAGACTTGAACTTAAAATTGTACTTTAGAAAACTCAAGCTCATTTATGACACAAGTGAATAAATGTCACTTACTTTTGCTGGTTAGCTCTTCAAAGTTTGGTCCTTAAATTTATCTGAGGAGTTAAGTGTGAACTACCCTCAAATTGATTCCCATATGGTATTATGGTCTGTGCATGTACAAATACTTAAAGCAGTAGTACTTTGAAGAAGGATAACTTGCCTGTTTCCTCATCAAATTATTTTTATTTCCATTCTGCATATTAATTAAAGGTAAGTGTTGCCAGAAAGTTGGTTACTAGAATAAATGTTCAACGGTTATTATTATTAGAGTAAATTTCAATTTTGGTCCAGTGACTATAGGGGTTCAATTAATTGCAGTCCATGACTTTCAAAAGTGTTAATTTAGTATCTTGACTATGCAATTTTTATCAATTTTGGTCACTCCGGTCAAATTGTCAGTTAAATCTCACCGAAAATATTAATAAGTAAAATAATGAGGGTATTTTAATCATTTTTTCTTCTTCTCCGCGATTGAACACCAAATTTTATCAATTTTCTCAATTTTTCCGATGACCCAAGTTGAGTCTGAAGCATATGATGGAGATTGGTTCCAAAAGAAGGTATAGAGGTGGAGAATTTGAGTTTGACCACCAAATCGGCGGCAAATTCGTCTACTGCTTATCGCCGGAGGTGAATACCACCAGCCACATAAGATTCGGCCCCAATGCCGTGGTTCGTGGCATTAACGCCATTTCCACGCTGTTAATCAAAAAACCTAGCGGGCGACTTTTTACTGGCTCAACTTGGAACGCATCACCGTTGGCGGTAGAGCCTTAACAGTGAAATCTTCGGCGGTCGAAATCAGCGGCCGGCGAGTTGGCAGCATCAAGCAGGCTAGTGTTGAAGGCAACATCATCATTAATTTTGGAACGACACTTACCTTTCTCCCGTCCGATTTATACACCAGTTTCAAATCGGCGATACAAGAGGCAATCTCCGCCACGCCGGTGAAGTGATCCAGAAGGCACATTCCCGTTGTGCTACTCATCTGCTGACAATCTTGAGTTTGAATTGGTTGCAAAGCATGAGCGAATGTCACCAAAGAATGAGCTGCGAACCGCTGCCGCATATCTGAGTTCATTGCATTCGCCGAAAACGTGGTGGAAAAGATGGACTCGTCGGAGAAGAAGAAAAGAGATGTGAAATGATTAAAATTATTTTACTAATTAATATTTTCTGGCGAAATTTGGCCGGAGTGACCAACACTTTCAAAAGTATAGTCACAGGGCCAGATGCCGATGTGCACAAAGAATCTGCCCACTAAACTATTGAGCTAAGCCCGTGCGGGTAATTGAAATTTATTCTTATTATTATTATGGCACGTTATATTTTCTCCGCGCACTTCTAACCCGCATCAGGTGAACTAATTTTTCAAAACCCACCTCCCACCTCACCGGATATGAGCATCACCACTGATACCCACCACTTATCATTATTATGTTATTTATGTCTATAAAGTTTACATGCCAAATTGCCAACCATCAATCCCGGCCAATTAAGCATTGAATGAAGTCCAGTCTTCTATTCAATTTCTAGTTGCAAATATTTACTACTATATGTACGTATGTACCATATTCTATTGAATTGTCATTTAGAACTAAAATTTCACTAATCAGAGAAATTCTTCATTAAGGAAAAAAAAAAAAAAAAAAGGAACTGAAATGAATTTATTTGTACATTTCTTTATTTAGAAACAAAATATAAAGACAGGAATAGAACATTGAAAGAAAATACTAGTGTACAATTGCATTTGGAGGTTTGTATGCTAGTTGAGACTTGAGACACACCCTGTAGTTTATTCAATCTATCAATCTCCAAGGCAATATAATAGTGGTAAGGGGTATTAAGTTGGTTAGACTATATTTTCAAAAAAAAAAAAGTTGGTTAGACTATCAATTGGGTAATCACAAAATTACAAATTTGACTCCTAATGAGAGCATTCTATGCCTTAACTTCTTAGTTTGAGCCGATCAGTTATGGATAACACACACACACACACACACGCACGCACGCACGCACGCACGCACGCACGCACGCACGCACGCACGCACGCACGCACGCACACACACACACACACACACACACACACACACACACACACACATATATATATATATATATATATATATATATATATATATATATATATATATATATATATAGGCTGGTTTACCTACTTTTGGTCATTTGCCGACTAGGCCACATAGCGGGATTTACTCCATGCACAAGTTTCTCTCTATCACTTGAAACAAAAAAAGAGTGGTAAGAAGTCATTAAGTTTGGAGTTCAAATTTATTTTAAAAATTTTTAAAAATAGAGAAAAAACTGAAAAAAAAATATATATAAATATATTGAAAATTTGCCAATGACCTTGTGGAGGTCGATCTAGTGACACTCTCCAAATAGGAAATCGACGGTATTGACTCTTTGTGATTCGATAGGTTGAGAAAGTATATATGAACCGATGCTATGTCAGTATGTTGTAATAACATAGTCAGTAGTACTAAAATTATATATATATATATATAAAAGAGGAAATTGAAGGAATTAAGTCTGCAATTACATTTTTCTGGCAGGGAATTCATCAACCCCTCTGTCTTTTATACCTATTATCATTTATCAGTTCCTAACTTAGTTTAACTTAATTAAAGCCTTTCTCACCATACATACACCAAACTCTCCACCCTAAATCCTAATGCTACTCTACACTATCCTTCTGCACAATCTCTGCTACTTTATCACACAATAATTAATTCTGAATTAACTATATATCCTCTTTTTTCATCATTATTTCTCTCTCCATCTCCCTATATAAACCCCTAGCAACCATGCAACTCCTCCACCACCTCAAACAAACAAAAAAAAAAATATTCTCGTTACGATAAAGCGTTTGTTAGAGTTTAAGGTAAATATATATATATATATATATATATATATATATATATTTTTTTTTTTTTATGGTAATATAAATATCTTGATATTGCGGTGAGACTTTTCTTTATATATCATTATTGTTAGTATTAATTTGTAGGTTGGCCGTTGACTAGAATTTGTATTATATTATACTTTAGGTTGGTTTATAAATAGACTTGTGGAATAATATAAGCTTCGTTGAAGGCAAAAGAAAAGAGGCCGGCGGGGAAAGATGAACTACAGGAAAGAGGGTCCAAAGCTAGATTTGAAGCTCAACTTATCACCGCCGCGAGCCACCGCTCCACAGTACTCATCACCGCTAAGATCGTCGTCGCCGCCGAGCTCATGCGTGTCCTGGGAGGCGAGCCCGGCGGACGGGGGCGGCGCCGCCGAGGCCACTTCAATGATGATGCTGGTTGGGTGCCCGAGATGCCTAATGTATGTTATGCTGGCGCAAGAGGACCCAAAATGCCCCAAGTGCAAAAGCACCGTCTTGCTTGACTTCTTCCATGAAGAAAGGACCAAGAACTCTAACAAGAAGTCGCCATGAACAACCTTCTCAGCTCCCTCATCATTTACATTAATATATATCAATTGTTTTCTGATATGATCTTCTGTTGTTAAGTTTCTACCTCTGATGATCTCTTATTATTATTATTATTATTATTATTATTATTATTTTGTTGTTGCTAATAAATTTACTGGTTTTGGAGTTGTATTATTCTTTAGATATTTATTTATTTTTTTTGGGGGGGGGGTAATATCTTCATAATATGCATGCAGCTGCTATTAATATTAGCAGCTCTTAGTTGCTATCATTACTAAATGCAATCAAACTTTGCTGCAACCACCTTCCTCATTACATTCATTAATTTCAATTTTCAATGCATTAGGTGTCTATCAAGCTTTCTTGAAAGATAATACTCTTAAACAAAGTAGTTTGAGTCCATTGGTAAGCAGATTATTAATACATACAGTTGCAAGGTCGGGAGTTAAATAAGTATGTAGGAAATTGAAGTCCCTAAAGAATTGGCCGACTGGTTATCAAAAGGTCACGAGTTTGATTTATGTAAATCACTGTGACTTAATGACTCAGCAGTCAGGGGTTAAATGCTGGTGCGCACAAGGGATCTAGGATTTGTTCATTTTTTTTGTATCTGTTCATATATACTTTCTCAACCTACCAACGCCCAACGAGTCAATATCGCCTCCACTAAGCTCGAACCCATGACCTCCGTTTCCATTTAGAAGAGTCACTTCATGTCACTTGACCACAAGTTCGGATAGTCATCCAAAAGAAATAAAAAGTTTTGGGATTGCTTTAATTTTCAACTAGGTAAAGGGGTTGAAGCAATTAGCTACGATGGAATTAATTAAATAAACTCAATTTTCAAAGTGGTAATTAATTTCAATTAATGTTGCTACCAAATATAAGCTTGATGACGCATATGCATATGCATACTTGCAGGCAAAACTTCAAAGTTTTAATTTTATTGCCCTAACATCATTTATTATTTTGATGACGATTCAAATCCAAACCCTTAAAGGAAGGGAAGAATTTAATTAAGATTGTTATCAAACCACGTACTTTGTAAACTTTAAGACTCAGTTTTTGTAAAAGTGTTAGGATTCTTCTTATTCAATAATCACGGCTGAAAATTATGTAATTTCCGACCACCTGAAAATGATCAAAAATCATGTCAAAAGCCTTGTTCCGACCACTTTTGGTGTCCGGAAAAACCTTTATAGCTATTTCCGACCACTTTTTACTTTAGATTTGATTTAAGACCACTTTCAGGTGGTCGGAAATTCCATAATTTCCAGTAGTGAATTCACAACACGCTTCTGACTTGATTATAATATGAAATTTTATAAAATTTGGATGAATAAAATTGGCTCAAGTAACATATGCATATGGTGGGAATGAAGTCAAAATGAATTAGGGGTAGGTTTGTGGCCATGGGGGGTTTATGCATCTTTGTCAGATGCAGGATTAATTATAAGAAAGGTGGTAGGCGAGCTAATATATTCAATCAGCAAAATGGTGTGAATTGCTGTTTTCACATTCCCTACAGAGTTAAGACCTTCATATGGTTTAGTATTTGTCAATTATATTGTTTAAATAAGGACTTGTCAATTATATTGTTTAAATAAGGACGGGTGACTTGATCCACAATTTTAATCATGTTCAATTAATGAACTCTTTAAATTGCCTTATCTTCTTCGTTTTATCGAATCAAGTTTTTTTTTTTTTTTTTGAAAATTTATCGAATCAAGTTAATCAACAATAAGTTCGTCTATGGTCACGTAATACCCAGAATTTTTAGAAACACAAATGCAAATGACAAGATTTTTGTCCATTCAATTTTTTTTATTTTTTTTTTTGGGGGGGGGGGGGGGGGGGGGGGGTTGATGAAAAGCATGTTTCGGTTCAAATATAGTCCACAAAATTAAGCATTAGATGGAAATTTTGGTTTCCCAAGCGTGGTGGACAAGAATATGCAGAGATGTCTTGACATAGATGAAAAATCTCACGACTTACTTTTAACGGTAAGGTGTGAGTTTGATATTTATCATGAATATTGAAGGTTTGAACTTGGAATATGCTCCTTATCCCCAGAAGTGCAGAGTTTGGTGTTGAATCTCAAAGCTATATTGATTTGATTTACCTTCTCATAGACCTAGAATGAGTTCATGTAATTCATGATATAGTTTGGTGAAGGAGGGAAATTTAGGATATAAAAAAAATACCTGCCTAGATTATTGGTTGGGTAATTGTTTGTTTGTTTTCTTTTTTGAAACTTTCATCCACCAAGATGGACAATATTAGAAAATTGTATTTATACATGTAACAAGAGCATCAAAATTTTTTTCGTGATTTTACGTTAAAAGAGAATTGAATAATATTACCTTGAACTCTTGAAGTATGCTTTAACACAATCTAATCCTAAAATCATACAAATGTCCGGTCTCTAGCCCGTCTATAAGCCGGGCACACGAAAACACAAGAATCCCAAAGATTTTACGTGAATATCTTTTTATTTCTTTTTGACCAAAAATCTCATGTTCAAGAATAGGACAAGACTACTTATATAGTATGGTTTGGGCTCAAAGGTGCTACCCTTTTAAAAAGCCCAAAACTACCAAATTGAATTAACCCATTAATCTAATAATGAATTAATTCAATATCAATAACTCATTATTAATATCCTTTAAAGCTCTCTGCATTACCACATACCATTAAATATTAAAATGTAACTTCCTAAGTTTAGAGTCAAACCAACAACGAGCAATATTTAATAATTTATTATTAAATATATTGTAAGCCATGAGAACACCTAGCAGTATGTCATGACTACCTAATTGACAATTAAAGAGATTAATGAACATTTCTGTTACAAATATCATTATATAATGACATTGTTTCGTAAATGGTTGTTAGTTGTTAGTTGATTGTGTTAATTAGAAGGTATAACTAGTTGATAACATTAGCTGATTATAGAAATGTGTTTGGAAAATTATTTGTTAGCATATAGTTGTTTGCTATAATTTCTTTTCTCAAAAAAAACTAATTGAAAAAGTTGTTTTGAGCAACTTTTTGAATTTTAGCATTTTGGAGTTGCAAAAAGCTAATTGACCAAACACTTATATTGATTTTTAACCAAGTCAAACAATTAATAGTAGTCAAATAAGCCAAAATTAGCTGATAAGCTAACTATTTTACCAAAGAGGGTCAATATCTTTCTCCACAATACTTGCTCTGAACCAGGTACTTAATCTAATGAATATAAATATAAGGAATATTTTGCAAATAATAATAATAATAATAATAATAATAATAAACAAGAAGAAGAAGAAAAGAATAGGTAGTTATTAATAATTTAGATTGAAATTACATGGCGTTATTTTATTATTAATCTAATGAATATAAGGAGGAATTTGTCAAAAAAAAAAAAGGAAAATAATAGGCTATTAATAATCTATACTCTATACTATTATTAAAAATAAAATTCTCTATTTTAACTTTCTGCCCAAACACTTAATAATAAGGTTAGCAGTAAAAAAGACAAAATGGAAAAGAATCCGTAATTCAGGAAGCCATAATATTCTAAAATTATTTCTACGCGTTATTTTACTATTAATCTAATGAATATGAATATAAGGGAGATTTTGCAAAAATAAACAAATAAAAAAAATCGATTATTAATAATTTAGATTAAAATTGCATGCCTTTAGTTTAATATTAATCTAATCGATCAATACTATTATTAAAAACAAAATATTCCTTTTTAACTTTCCGCCCAAACACTTAATAATAATAAGGTTAGCCGTAAAAAATAAAAAATAAAAAAAGAAATCGTAATTCGAGAAGTCATAATGTTCTAAAATTATTTCTACATGTTATTTTACTATTAATCTAACTAGTATTTTGGTCATTGCGATGCACGGAATAGATTTGTTGTAATATATTTGGATCGATATATAATTATTTAAATTAGAACATCAAATATTATATAGTACAATTGAATGTATAGTTTGGATCATTTATGTGTTTTTATGTTATCATTGCTTGAATTTGAACAAATAATTGCTCAAATTAATAGCTAATGTGTAGATGTACGCATGCGATATTGTAACTTTGGACATTTTATTTATCATTGTTTACTATTTTTATAAATTAGGCAAATGCGCTTGTTCTCTAGCAACTCAGTTATATAACTTATAAGAATGAATTGGTATCCTAATTCATTTGTATGGAAAATATATTTTTTTGTCTAGAAATATAGCAATTTTGCCATTTAAAAAAAACATAATATCACCGATTTTATTTACACGTTATTGAAACCTCTTTGCAGACAACATTGGTAGTAGCAACACAATATTGTCCATTTTCGTCTATAGCTAACATCTTTAGTCCATCAGGATGGGTGACTCGGGTGAAAATATATAATGGTAGAATATCAGTCAATTAGTGATCCTTTTATATTTTCAGTCAATTAGTAATATCCGATTTATTTTTAGCCATTTTTTTATTTTTATTTTCAGTCAATTAGAATATTAGATGCAGTGACAGGTTCCCGTGCGGTTGATTAATGTGCGTGAGATTTGTACTCAATGTGCGTGAGTGTTGTGCTTAATGTGCCTGAGATTTGTACTTAATGTGCGTGAATGTGTAAAATGCAGCAGAAAATATGGATGTCAGCTTCTTCCCCATCCCAGTAGCCATTGCCCCCTCCCTGATGATGATGATGCGGACGCGGGCTATGGAGGTTAAGAATTATGGGAATAATACAACAGAAACCCACACTTAGCTGGTGTGCAAATTTTGTTGTGCGTACGTCATCTATATAAACATTCAACTGCACTGAAGGTAGCTGATAATCCAGAATCCATGGCCAAATTGAAGGAAGAAGTAACAAGAAGTTTGAGCGTGAGTTTTCTGTTCTGCTACATTCTGAGCTGGTAATTCTGAACTACTCACGCATATTAAGCATAAATCTCACGCATATTAAGTACAAATCTCAGGCACATTAAGCACAATACTCAAGTACAAATCTCAGGCACATTAAGCACAATACTCACGCACATTAAGTATAACTTCACGCACATTAATACACCGCACAACCGGACGGGAAGCCACAAATGCACTTGATCCCTTCCCTATATATATATATATATATATATATATATATATATATATATATATATATATATATATATATATATATATATATTACATAATACCATATAAGGAATACACGTTAATTATTCCCTAATTTAAAAAATTTACACGTTAACAATATTTCCAAAATTTATTCAATTGACTCAGTTATGAATTGGTTCAACCAATTTTGATTCCGTGTAATATTACCATAATAATATTTTCATAATTAATTAGTCTATATTTTGTCATATTTAAAATATTTTTTATTCAATTGACTCATTTTTGATTTTGTTAAACCAATTTCATGAAATATTACCATAATAATATTTTCATAATTAATTAGTATATATTACACCTAATTTATTAATTAGCCAATATTCATAATATTTCGTGTAATGTTAATTAATTTTTGATAATATATATATATATATATATATATATATATATATATATATATATATATATATATATATATATATATATTACATAATACCATATAAGGTATACATGTTAATTATTCCCTAATTTAAAAAATTTACACGTTAACAATATTTCCATAATTTATTCAATTGACTCAGTTATGAATTGGTTCAACCAATTTCGATTCCGTGTAATATTACCATAATAATATTTTCATAAATAATTAGTCTATATTCTGTCATAATTAAAATATTTTTTTATTCAATTGACTCATTTTTGATTTTGTTAAACTAACTACGTGTAATATTACCATAATAATATTTTCATAATTAATTAGTATATATTACACCTAATTCATTAATTAGTCTATATTCATAATATTTCGTGTAATGTTAATTAATTTTTGGTAATATATATATATATATATATATATATATATATATATATATATATATATATATATATATATATATATATATATATATATATATATATTACATCATACCATATAAGGTATACACGTTAATTAATTCATAATTTAAAAAATTTACACTTTAACAATATTTCCTTAATTTATTCAATTGACTAAGTTATGAATTGGTTCAACCAATTTCGATTCCGTGTAATATTACTATAAAAATATTTTCATAATTAATTAGTCTATATTCTGTCATAATTAAAATAATTTTTTATTCAATTGACTCATTTTTGATTTTGTTAAACCAATTACGTGTAATATTACCATAATAATATTTTCATAATTAATTAGTATATATTACACCTAATTCATTAATTAGTTTATATTCATAATATTTTGTGTAATATTAATTAATTTTTGGTTATATATACATACATACATACATACATATATATATATATATATATATATATATATATATATATATATATATATATATATAAATATAAATTTCATAATACCATATAAGATATACACGTTAATTATTTCCTAATTTAAAAAATTTACACGTTAACAATATTTTCATAATTTATTCAATTGACTCAGTTATGAATTGGTTTAACCAATTTTGATTCCGTGTAATATTACCATAACAATATTTTCATAATTAATTAGTCTATATTCTGTCATAATTAAACTATTTTTTTATTCAATTGACTCATTTTTTATTTTGTTAAACCAATTACGTGTAATATTACCATAATAATATTTTCATAATTAATTTTTATATATTACACCTAATTCATTAATTAGTCTATATTCATAATATTTCGTGTAATGTTAATTAATTTTTGGTGTTTATATATATATATATATATATATATATATATATATATATATATATATATATATATATATATATATATATATATATATATATATATATATATATATATATTACATCATACCATATAAGGTATACACGTTAATTATTTCCTAATTTAAAAAATTTACACGTTAATAATATTTTCATAATTTATTCAATTGACTCAATTATGAATTGGTTCAACCAATTTCGATTCCGTGTAATATTACCATAATAATATTTTCATAATTAATTAATCTATATTCTGTCATAATTAAAATATTTTTTTATTCAATTGACTCATTTTTGATTTTGTTAAACCAATTACGTGTAATATTACCATAATAATATTTTCATAATTAATTCGTATATATTACACCTAATTCATTAATTAGTCTATATTCATAATATGTCGTGTAATGTTAATTAATTTTTGGTTTATATATATATATATATATATATATATATATATATATATATATATATATATATATTACATCATACCATATAAGGTATACACGTTAATTATTCCCTGATTTAAAAAATTTACACGTTAACAATATTTTTATAATTTATTCAATTGACTCAGTTTTGAATTGGTTCAACCATTTTCGATTCCGTATAATATTACCATAATAATATTTTCATAATTAATTAGTCTATATTCTGTCATATTTAAAATATTTTTTTATTCAATTGACTCGTTTTTAAAATTTTTAAACCAATTCGTGTAATATTATCATAATAATATTTTCATAATTAATTAGTCTATAGTACACCTAATTCATTAATTATTCTATATTCATAATATTTCGTGTAATGTTAATTAATTTTTGGTTATATATATATATATATATATATATATATATATATATATATATATATATATATATATATATATATATATATATTACATAATACCATATAAGGAATACACGTTAATTATTCACTAATTTAAAAAATTAACACGTTAACTATATTTTCATAATTTATTCAATTGACTCAGTTATGAATTGGTTCAACCAATTTCGATTCCGTATAATATTACCATAATAATATTTTCATAATTAATTAGTGTATATTCTGTCATATTTAAAATATTTTTTTATTCAATTGACTCTTTTTTTGATTTTGTTAAACCAATTCCGTGTAATATTACCATAATAATATTTTCATAATTAATTAGTCTATATTACACCTAATTCATTAATTAGTCTATATTCATAATATTTCGTGTAATGTTAATTAATTTTTGGATATATATATATATATATATATATATATATATATATATATATATATATATATATATATTACATAATCTCATATAAGGAATATACGTTAATTATTCCCTAATTTAAAAAATTTACACGTTAACAATATTTCCATAATTTATTCAATTGACTCAGTTATGAATTGGTTCAACTAATTTTGATTCCGTGTAATATTACCATAATAATATTTTCATAATTAATTAGTCTATATTCTCTCATATTTAAAATATTTTTTTATTCAATTGACTCATTTTTTATTTTGTTAAACCAATTCCGTGTAATATTATCATAATAATATTTTCATAATTAATTAGTCTATATTACATCTATTTCATTAATTAGTTTATATTCATAATATTTCGTGTAATGTTAATTAATTTCTGGTTATATATATATATATATATATATATATATATATATATATATATATATATATATATATATATATATATATATATATATTACATAATACCATATAAGTAATACACGTTAATTATTCCCTAATTTAAAAAATTTACACGTTAACAATATTTCCATAATTTATTCAATTGACTCAGTTCTGAATTGGTTCAACCAATTTCGATTCCGTGTAATATTACCATAATAATATTTTCATAATTAATTAGTCTATATTCTGTCATATTTAAAATATTTTTTTACTCAATTGACTCATTTTTGATTTTGTTAAACCAATTCCGTGTAATATTACCATAATAATATTTTATTTAATAATTAGTCTATATTTTTCATATTTAAATTTTTTTTATTCAATTGACTCATTTATGAATTGGTTCAAACAATTCCGTGTAATATTATCATTATATTATTTCATAATTAATTAGTCTATATTTTGCAATATTGAAAATATTTTTTATTCAATTAATATAGACATGTACAATTAGGCACCTCCAGTTCTTCGTATTATATCACAGAGCATAATTAACTAATTAATACTTAATAAAAGTTATTATTAATTTGACTATTAATATAGATTTGTATAAATATTTGTTATTCAATTGTCTCATTTATTTATTGATTCAACGAATTCCGCCTAATATTTACAAATCGGAACTATATTGTTAAAATTATATTTTTAAAATATTAAATAAATTATATAAATTAAATTTGATTAAATTGTTAAATTATACATAGCAAAAATGCCAATACCAGACCTCAATTAATTCAACCTTTTGAAAGGATTTTAATTCAATTAATTAAATTCGTAAGGGGATGTTCTTAATTCGCAAATTAAAAACATAGTGCAGAATAGAAGTAAATTATTAATTTTGTTTCTATACTCATTATAAACCACTTCAAATCTATTAATTCGATAAATTTTGCCTTTTTAAAATTTGTTGAGCCACTTTATATATATATATATATATATATATATATATATATATATATATATATATATACACACACACACACACACACACACACACACACACACACATATACACACACACACACACACACATACGATATAATAATAATTAAGTTTGAAGTGTATCATTTGATATATATTTTTAGCTTAATTTGTGGAGTTAATGTTATGCATTTATAATAACAGTTCATGGTGTTCAATACAGTAATCATTGAACAGTTCATGGTGTTCAATAGTATTAATAATATATTCATGAAAATGTTGAACAAATCATTGGACATTTACATTATTTATGTCGTTCGGACGAAAAATGTTAGACATATTTGTTAACTAAGTTTATAAATTTTAATTGTATAAATTTTATACATCGAAATCAAGCAAGGATAATATCAGAAAATATAATCTATCAAACTAATTTCATCACGACACTATATAATATTCGTTGGCTCGTTGTTATAATTTATATAATTATATATCAATTTAAATATTCTTTAAATATTATAACAAATTAATTTTATGCAACGCATGAGTGAAAATACTAATTTTTCATAAAAATTACTCCGTATAATTTTAGTCATAAATTTTATTCTAAATAGAGTAATATGGAATATATTTTAAAAATTACAATATTTAAGTATATTTTAAAAAATATTTATAAAATCCTCTATATATTGTTTATATTTATATTTTCCTCCTCTATTTAAGGACTATATATAGAGATCATTGTCGGTCCCGTCGAGTGGGTCTCCTTGCTGCTGCGGTTTCTCGGAAACATTAAGGTCTGATCTTTACGGCTTTAATCTCTCTAACCGGAAATGACGCTCGGTGCCGGAGGATCTAGCGTAGTCGGTAAATCATAACATCAATTCTTTTTATATATTTTTTTTTTCAAATGTTTTTGGAGTATATTAGGTGTTTGATTACACTGTTCAGTCTTAATCATATATCTATGGATCTTTCATGTGAATTACCAATTGGGTACTTGAAACTCATTCTAGTGACTGTCTTGCTGCCGTTATTTCTTGATATGCTCTTGTTTTGAAACCGCAGCATAGCCTTGGGGACTTAGGGTTTTGTGTGATTCATTCTACTTTACTTTGGGTTCCTTTTTTTTTTTTTAAATTGATTTCTGTGTTCATTGTTTGGTTCACTTCTTTACTGATTAATGGTTATGCAGTAGGAACTTGTTGGATATGTCATAATCTGATATGCATGTTTTCTTGTCTTGGTGGAAGATTGGTGTGGTGTCTGGTACTCTGGATTCCAATCCTGAATTTATTGGTTGTGTGGACAAGGCCACACCCAATATTGTTTAGATCGTTTTATGTTGAAACTTTGAATTTTTTAATAACTTGTTTGTTTATTATTTAAAATTTTTAAAAATACTGTATTTTTCTTGAAACAATGTATTATGATGGCTGATGAGGCAAAATTTATGGTCACTTTTGTTTTGTTAAGTACACTATGTAAAGCCTTTGTTGTGTGTGTGTTGAGGAGGGGGGTGGGATGTTGATGGTTAGATCTAATTTCATCAATTCATTATGGTGTGGATGGATGTAACTAGATAAGGGAGTTTCCAGAGAATTCTGGAATACTGGTTGGGTGTTGCAAGAGAAAGCAAATAAGCTGCATGCTTAATGGCGACCTAAGCTACCAAAAATTTTCCATGTGTTGTACTTGTCCCTGTTGTGCAAATAAATGGGATTTATTATCACTGCCTGCTCCTCTAGTGATTCCCGAGTGTTCTCTAGAGAAGCATTCTTCTACTATTAAATGAATCATCTCTTATTTGTGTTGATTAGTTATATATATGAGTTAACTTTTAACTTTGTAACAGGGAAAGTAATATGTTTTGGTTGATTGAACAGAGTTTAGATTATACAACAGAGTTTGAGTTGAGAAGTTGCATGGCTGCTAGGGGTTTGTATGTTGAGTTGGAGAGAGAAATTATTTAAGATGGTATTTAATTCAGGAATAATTGTGTGATTAACCGGAGAGGATGGATTGTATAGAGTAACATTTGGGTAGAGACTTTGGTGTATGGTGAAAAGGCCAGAGAGGCTTTAAACTAAAGTTTGGAAGTTAAAATAGGTATAGAAGATGAGGGATTAAATTCCTTGCCAGAAAAGTGTAATTACAGAACAGATGATTGTGAAATTAGATTCCTTCATTTATTGATTACATAATGAATTGTTGCCTAAAAGAGTACAAGGATACTTATTTATGTTGATAGATTTCAATTTGTGGCTCGTTTTAAGTCGGCATTAGTTAATATGTTTACTACAATGATCATTGGTTAAGCTAAGTCATCTATTCAGCTCATAGGAAGTATGATGTGGACCTTTTTTTCTTCAATATGAGTATATGACATTCTACTGCTATCTAAATTAGTTAGTTCTGCTGCTCAATTCCTCATAGAATCTTTCTTCATCAAACAATGTAAGTCATCTATTCAAGTGATTAGAGTAGGATGTGAGCCTTTTTCTTCTTCAAATCAATATTCCATGGCTATCTAAACTAGTTAGTTCTGCCAAACTATTTCTGGTACAGTCTTCTCCATCTACACAACTGATATGACTTAGCTTGTTCATAGGGTTGTCTGATTTGGTCTTCAGAGCCTTGTACGGTTAATATGCTGGGCTGTATTAGTATCTAGATAACACAGTTGTTGATGCAAGTTGGATTTGAACCTAAACTTTCTCTGCATTGGATGCCAACCTGGATTATCAATTATGCTTCTTCTTCCTCTTCTTCTTCTTTTCAGTAGCATTCAACTTTTGGTGTTTCTGCAACTATATGAGCTTATCATTGCATTTAGAACTTCTATGAGGCATGAAACAGATGTGGCTGTGTATATTTTTCCATTTCTAATTGTTTCTCTATGTAGGAAGAAAAGCCTTGTCTGGAGCTTGACTTTTCAGCGTGCCCTAAGATTCTCTTGAACTATTCATGCACCATGATCTGTTGTGTATTTGCAGTTCCTAGGAATTTTAGGTTGCTCGAGGAGCTTGAACGTGGAGAGAAAGGTATTGGAGACGGGTCTGTTAGCTATGGAATGGATGATGCTGATGATCTTTACATGCGTTCTTGGACGGGTACCATAATTGGTCCGCACAATGTAAGTTGTTTGTTTATTACTTTATTTAAATCAATATTAACATTTAGTTTTTAACTCTTTCAAATTTTTAGGTTTTATATGATAGGTTTCAAGAATATATAAAAAAATTCACAAAAACTTGTGTAAGACCGTCTCATGTGAAATGAATCTCAAATATGTGGTGCTTTTTAGCAAAAATATACTCCGTAATACTTTTGTATGAGTTAGCAAGTATTGCATTTTTACCGAAAAGGATTACTTGTTCCACGATGAGTATACTTGTTGACTCATAAAAAAGTATTACATTTTCGCTAAAAAGTGTTACACATCTCATGAGAGACGGGCTCTCATAAGACCAACCATAAGAAATTTTGTACATTACTTATTTACTTGTTGGATTTTTATTTGGAATGTGCATTATTGCCAGTGGGCTATCGAGTCCAAAACAACTTAAAATAAAACTTAAAAAATAGTATCTAGGAATGCATGGCATGGGTTCTTAACCAGTATCTTGATTCTAGTTATTTGTAGGATTGGGTTGTCTACTTGTCTTCTAGACTCAGCAATCTGCATGGCGTCTTTACTCTTGATAGAGTTTTGCCGAATAGATTTATGTTCTCTGACACCTTAAGTCTGAAAAACATTAAGGTGGTGTTTGGTTGGGGACTTTCGTATCCTACTATTGGATTTGATACCCATTACCATCTTTGTTTGCCTACTTTTGCTATCCTACTATTGGATTCAAATCCTTTAGTAATTATAAAACCCATTACCCTTTTCCTATCCTACTTTTGAACAATGGAATAAAAAATGAGGAAGAAAAAAATAAAAAATAAATAAATAGGTCATTGTCCTTGCATTAAATATGGAATTTTAATATGTATATGTATGTGTATATATATGTACTATATATTTTTATGTTTTTATTTAATTGTTTTTAATTTTAATTATTTATTTAGATTCCAATTCTTATTTACTACTAAACAAAGAAATCTCTTCTACTTAAACCCATTATGATTACCATGTATTTGATTCTAGTTACATTGTGATTCCAATGTTTGAACCTAAGATATATTGTGTATTAAATAAGAAGTCTTTATTTTATATTTCCATTGGTCAAGAGAAATGTTTGTGTTAACTCTTACTTTCCAATTCTATTCGATAAAACTTGATACCATTCATCTCTCTAAGGAAATAAATATAGTGCTTATTTCATGCTCTGTATTTGCCTTTTATGAATACTTTAGGAGCTCAGACCTTGATTTCTGGTATGCTATGTTGCTAGATATTTATTATGTGTATCTTAATATTCTTTTACAGACTGTACATGAGGGCCGTATTTATCAATTGAAGCTGTTTTGTGACAAAGATTATCCAGATAAGCCTCCGAGTGTTCGTTTCCATTCGTGCATCCACATGACCTGTGTCAACCCCGAGACTGGAGTGGTAACAAAAACATTTCTTTCTTGTTCATGTGTTCTAATTTCGGTCATTTCTCTCGTAATAAATTAGGAATACGATTCACTTGCAAGATTTAATGGTCACCCGTCATGACAGGTTGAACCAAAGAAGTTCAGTATGCTGTCAAATTGGCAGCGGGAGTACACGATGGAAGACATCCTGACTCAGCTGCGAAAAGAAATGGCTGCATCTTACAACCGAAAGCTCGCTCAACCCCCAGAAGGTACCTTTTTCTGATACCCTAAGCTGCAAGGAGGACCTATTATCAGATATTGCTGGATATGCTGACTGTATTTCTGAAATGTCCATAAATAGTTGCAAATTTATGTCGTAATGAATGTTACTACACCAATATACATACCCCGCAAACCTTGCAATATCTTTCTTTCCATATGCATCATGCTTGTTCTGTGTTGTTCTAATTCCCCTTTGGATTAATGGATTCAGTGTTAAAGGAGAGATTGCCATTACAAGTATGTTGTTGTGCTTGATATATATTACTTTCTCATATTCTGCATTCTTGTATCTGTTAGTTTATCTTTCTTCTTTTCTTGGACATTTTGAGATGACAAAAGAGGTAAGAGTGTAAAAGTAGCAGTCAAAGGTTGACCAGGAGTCAACCTTTGAACAGTGCAGTCAAACATGTTGTGTTGTGTACTAAGCCACGAGTAGACTTGCCATTCTTCCATGCTTACTTGTTTTGCCACGTGTTCAACGTAAGACTATAAGGCGGCCATGATTGTGACCTTTTAACAACTAAATACAAATATTTAAAATCTTCGGCTAATTGTAAATATAAAAAGGATTTTTGTTGTGATAAACATGGGAACCACGAGTGTAAACTTAGACGAGTGTGCTGACACGTGGGCCCTTAGAAGCCATTGGTCATGATAAACGAAGGTAATGAATCTAAAAGAAGTGAGACAAAGATATGGGACGGTGGGGAAACGCCATACGACTGATACAACTTGAAAAATAACTCTCGAAAATTATTTTATGATTTTTTTAATATTTGACTATCAACGGAAAATAAACATTCTAATCAAAAGAAAAATGATTCATTTTGTTAAAAAATATCTTTCTAAATTTTTACTCAGAAAATATTTTTCGAATTCCAATCTTACACCCAATCCTTTCTCTCCATCTGAGTGGGACCAAATGGGTGAATTAACCCGCCATCTATAATGATGAATATTTGAATCGAATTTGGTTAAAATATGAGTCTAATCGGGCTATACTAAACAATGGAACTCTTGGTTTGGTGTGGTCGGGTCCATATCCCAAAAGATTCCAAAATATTTGTATTTTTTCTTTATTTTTTTAGTTTAATGTTATTGCATTTATAAATAACTCGATTAAAATATGCAGTAGATTGTGCTAGACCAAATAATAAAAATCTTGACTTGACCCACAACCTAATATTTTATAAGAAAGAACTTATTAATAAATTTATGTCCATGTTTTTAAAATAATTCAAAGCTAAATTATCCTGGTCCATCAAAATCACAAGAACCAATTCAATTCGAGGAGGTCATCAATCCCAGAAAAAGGTTACTAAAAAGCTGACCGTGAAGCCATTTTACATGCGTCTCCCCCGCGAAGCCATTTTACTCTTATATTGTATATATATAGACTTTAATTTATATTAAGCACTGATTGACTACCAACTTCTAGTTATTCATCTATCAATCCAATAACTTGTTAAGACTTATAACATATGTTATACGGGAAAATCCAACATAATATTCATTATGACTGAACCATGCATGCATAACTTTTTCTGTTATTATATTCCAGAGGGTTTATTGGTGGAAGGGGATGCAATTGAGGAAAATATTCTGGGAATTGAAGATGCTGCAGATCCGTGTCTGAACGGTGGCAGATATATAGAGAATGTGGTTGAATTCTCACAAGTGAAAAGCTTCGAGGATTTCAACGTCGTTGTCAACAACTTAGACATAGATTCTAAGATCTCCGAAGACACCAGGCTCAAGTACTATGAGCTATGCCGCAGTCGCAACGCCTATCTTCATGAGCTTGAAGAGCCCGGGTTGAACTACACTCTAATCGCCGGGTCGATAATAGAAACCGTGAAAATCGCGGATGGGATCAAAGGTGCCACGCTCGCAACGGGGCGTGATGTTTTGGAAGAATGGGACAGAATTCTGAGAGGGATGGGGTATTTTGGCATGGAAGTGGGGTTCTTGAGGGCCAGGATAAGCGAGCTGATTAGGCTTCGCGAGGCGGCTGAAACTGTTGCCAGAAAGGAGAAAGATAAAGCCACAGCTGAGGAGATCCAGGCAAGCAACGGTTGGGAGATGGTAGAGGAGGTCTTCAAAAATGTTGCCAGTGCTGATTGGTGAAAAGCATTCTTCTATAGTGCTGCTTTTGAGGGCTTTAAATTGTTAAAACTGCTTGTAAACATTTATAGAGCTTTACTTCTAGCAAGATGAATTTTTGAAACATTGGGTTTGAAATATTTTATATAATGTGTTTGAAATAATTGTTCATTGTGTTTTTTTGGGTAATGGATATAAGTCGATTATAACATATGCTTTTGTCAGTTAATTGTTTATCATCAATGACAAGTCTTGCGACCTGTTATTGAACACCATATATGGGTTAGGCTAAATCATAACTTCCTTTTCTTTAATCCTTGTGGGATTGTGAATTCCTATTTTAACTTGAATTTTCCCACTGGGTTGTATGACTTCTATCCCTTTTTGAGTAGTAGTGTTAGTTGGGATTTTGTTTGTTTTTGCCACAAATTTTAAACAATTACTTTGAGTCAACAGTATGAAATTGTATGATTTGAATAGGATGTTGACACCTTTTGAGTCTAAAACGAAGTTAATGAGATCCAGAAAATTGAGAAATATATATATGGGATAGATGCTGACACAAAATGGCATCATACAGCCCAGCTTTGAAGAAAAGTCAGTGGATGAACTTGGTCTAAATTAAACTCTAAGGAGTAGCACAAGGTTGACCACAAAATCAATCAAATTGATCAACAAAATAATTGAATTTATTAAAAAAAATGATGGGAGTTCAAGGTGGGACCAACCTAGAAATAATGAAGTGATAAGTGATAATGACTTGAATTAACAGGAAATGCAGTACGTACTGACTATTATGCATGGAGTGTAGTAATAACTAAGCAACAATATTATACGGAGTAATACTTCTTTGACTCAGTCACCTGCCAACAAACATCATAACCTACGCAATTAATTAATTATAGTTTTTTTTTTGAAAGTGATTAGTTATAGTTAAGAGCAACAATATTAATAGTTTTTTAATAAATTTTTTCAGTCAAAATAATTTGGAGTTGATTTTTTAACAAATAAGGAAGTGGGTTTTATTTTTTTATTTTTATTTTTTTGTGACTTTTACTCCTGCAAGTTAAAGCGTTTAATATTTTTGTGAGTCTATTGAAAAATGAGAGAAAGAAGCAGGTTCGGTCTTACGCATGAAAGACTGTTGCGCCCAGCTGGGTGCATGCACTGCACGCACTAGCTAGACATGTAAGGGCCTTTTTTGAAAAAAAAAAAAAAGTAAAAATAACTTTTTTGTTTTATCTGATTTTTTTTTTAATTTATTTATTTTTTTTTTATTTTTACTCTTCCCTTTCTCCCTCTCTCTTCTATATGGATATCAAAAAACCAAGTAAAAATACATACTAACGAAGTTGCTTTAATGTTTAGTTTTTATCCCAAAACATGAATTAAATATATAGAATGATTAATATTACTGTGAACTTTTGTTTTTATTTTTATTTTTTTTTGCCCAATATACAAAAAAGGTGGGGTGATAAAGAAGATTTTTTTTTCTCCTAAATATTCATGATTCTTTATAAGATAGTATTTAGTTCATACTTTTTAAAATATTTTTAGCTTAAAGAATTTAATTTTTCACTACCATTGGCGGCAGTGATAAGAAGTTAGTTGCACGTGCATGGGCTAAGGCGGCAATGCAAGCAGAATAATAATGGCAGTCTATTTCTGGAAACAACAAACTAACAAGTAACAATGCAAAATGGAGCAAATCCCACGGTTTCAACAGGAGGATATGATGTTCATCACGTCGCTGCCTATTTCCAACCACAAACCTAATCCTTGCAAATTGAAAATCACCCTCAGACCTCGTCACCATCCATAAAAAAAATGGAATTTAGGAGCAAGCAAAACCATGAATTTTATTGACTAGAATCACAATGCAAGATTTACTCAATACACACTCGAATAGTGATTATGGTTTTCCTCATTACTTTACATGAGTTTTATTGTGACTTTGTGTCATCATATATTCATATATCTATCATTTATCACTCAATATCATTCATATTATATGTATACTAGTTTTTTACTTGCATTGAACGAATGAGATAATGACTTATGATTATTTTTAAATAAGTACTTCAAAGTATATCAATGCAAGATTATATAGAAGATGTTCATGCATAATTAATTGAATGTTGAATTTGTTTATTTAAATCAGTAATTTAAAGTATGTAAATGAAAGATAATATATGAGAGATTGATTATAATTGTCACTAAAAAAATGTTTTGCAATTTTGTAATAACGTTTGTCTAAATACTTAATCTAAAAATGATAGTCTAAATAAATACTACTTTTGGTTTAAATTTCTCTAAGTATTTGTAATTCTCTTTTGGGTAACATTGTTATTGTCTTCATCTTCAGTACTTGTCCTCTTTCTTTTTATTGATAACGTGTCATGTGCAATTGGGTTACTAGTGTAGCATAGAGGGCAACATCATGCAATGAGATTATAGTGTGGGAAGTTTTAGATTTGCCTTGCTGCGTATATGATTGAGATCTTAGTTGTACTATGTGTTGGAAAAAAATAGCTTAAAATAACATTAAACGTGGCTATTTTGTGGTACAATTATTAGTATGGTCCACTTCCGATTTGGGTCGGGTCAAAATGAATTCGAATTTTTCGTAGTAAGACGAAGAGATTGATACATTGTACACTCAAAACGGATAATGGGTGAATGAGAAATTGATTCTCAAAGTAGACCCATTTGAGTTGGAAAAATGCTGCTTTTGTCCTACATTGGTTTGGGAAGTGGATTTGCACCACTATTTATACAAGAGCCTTTCTAAAGCTTATTGAAGTGTATAGTATAGAGGCTCTTTCTCGCGTGTAGGTGGGGCAAATCAAATCCCAAAATGAGCTTGAGCTTGAAAAAGCTTGTTTCGTGTACGCGGGCACAAATCTCGTTGATGGTTTTAAGGAAAGAGTGTTTCGCTAGACTCATGCTAACCACCTACACCAACCCGAACCATATCAATTCGTCCTTCCCATTTTTCCTTTCCAGAAAATAATAATCCTTTTTTGTACGATTATTATTGAATTTTCCACCTTATTTCCTACACTATGAACTCTTTATCTTGCAAGCGCTTGATGATATTTGGCAATGATAGTTTTTTCCCTACATGTTTCATGTGTTGTGAGATGTGTGTCGTAGATTATCATGTGAAAGTATTGAACAAAATATTAATATTTATTATATTTGTATAAAATAATTGGTAAATAAATATAACATATTTTGTATTATAACTTTGATATTTAATTACAATATAGTGTAAAAAGAAGGCAATGGACAATGTAGTGAATATAATTAATTAATAAATTTGAATGTAAGGAATCTTTGAATTGTATAAAATAAAGATAATATAACTAATGAAATTATAACATCAATTTTGGTCAAATAATTAGCCTGATTAACTACATAACATTCAAAGTTGAGCATCAAAGATTATAAATCAGGAATCTTGAAAATTATTTTCTTGCATTTAAAAAAAAAATTAGGTTAAGTTTTTTTTTTTTTTTATTGTTTAATTAATCTTCTTTTGATTATATTTATAACAATTATGCCAACTATGCTTGGGATGTGGTTCGAACCTAAGACCTTTCTAATAGAAATTAATAAGTTAAGAATAATAAATAGTTAGCGGAATAGTAGACCAAACAATCGATGGCTAAAAAAAAACCATTGTTGATGCTACCAAACCCCCGTTGTACCGCCGCTGGCCAGTGACACCATGTCCTCTTTTCGCATCATCTTCGATATTGTCTATCCAACCATAACCCTGATAAATACCATACAAACAACCTATCATTTTATCCCCATTAAACATACTACCTCAAACTGTTTATTATGAAAGACTCAACTTGTTCCCTTTCTCCGCGGTCAAAATCTCAGTGGATAGGTTGATGGCACGTTACTGTGTCCAGCTTTATTTATAAGCTAAGGCATCGGATAAGTGTTTCGTTGTAGCCACGCTCCGGATGAGTGTTCCGTTGTAGCTGGGCTTCGGATTAATGTTCCGTTGTAGCTGCACTATGGATGAGTGTTGCGTTGTAGTTGCGCTCCGGATAAGTGTTCTGTTGTAGTTGCGCTTTGGATGAGAATTCTGTTGTAGTCGCGCTCCGAATGAGCATTCTATTGTAGCCGAAAATTTTGTCCTTCAAGATTCTTTTATTTTGGTCATGCTCATCTCATTTTTATGTTGTAGTGGGATATGTCATGTCCTAAGCCCTATGAAGACTATTGAAGTCGCCTTTGGGTCTTCTTCTCGCACATGATATCTGAGTCTCCATAGCTGACTGTAGTCTTTGCGCTAATTGGATTCTACTAAGAGTGAGTATCTCGGTAAAGCCAAGGTTTTAATTGGACTCCGCCCTGGGTATTGCGCGATGATCTCCTCATTGACTACTAAAGAATGTGTGACAATTGACCAACTGGTAGATAGACATTTTCACCAAGCTACCATTGAAATGTTAAATGATCTAAGGGACAAGTTTACTGCATGTTCTCTTTAGAGAACCTTAAGTATGAGGGGACGTATTAGAACTCTGTATTCTAAGTATACTAGAATTCCTTCTTCCTCTCCCTATATTATTCAGAATATTATCATTTATCAATCTTATCCTGATGGGGACTCTTTGTATTCTTATAAATACTGTACTTATCTTCATGTACATCAAATATTATTGATTGATCAATAATAAAATTACGGTTAATTCCAGCAGAGGTCCATTGTGTTAGAGATAATTGAGTGTTTGATGATAGGGAAGTGAGGAAACGAGAACTTCAGGTGTGTAATCACTTTCCTATAAGCTTTAAATCTCCCTCATATAAAGCAACAAGGTTCAAGATTTAATCTTATGGGATACAAGAAGATGATGAAATTCTTAAGTTGCCTTGTTTAAGAATTTTCTGTAGAAATGTAGTGCTGTGAACTTTCTCAGTTTAATGCAAGTTTTTGCATGTAGCTTTCAGATGTTTCTCCAAAGTATTTATAGATGAAAAAATATATATGTTTGGAGAAGCTGCATGGAAGTTGCTGTGATTTAAAACTCAACTTGCACAAGATAAGATATATCAACTTCCACAAGATAAGATATATCATGAATGATATATCCATTACTAGAGAAATAATTAAATTTTGAGTCAGTACCTGTATGCAAAATTATATATATATATATATATATATATATAGGCGGGTTCAGGTGCGGCAGTGTCTTACGGTGCGGTTATTTCTTACGGTGCGGCAACACCAATAGTTCAACAAATATGCACCATCAACGTTAGGAAAATACACCACACAAAACAGAGTAAACAGAGCCCATGCATCACCAAACACACACCATTAGGTGTGAGTAAAAACACCATACACTGTTCGGAAATACACCATTGGGGGTGGTGAGTTATATGGTGTATTTTTTTGAGTCTGTTGTGTATTTTGTGATGTTTTATTGCATTTCATTGTGGTGTGTTTTTATTACACTGTTGGTGGATATTGTTAACACTGTTGGTGTATTCTGGAATTTGACCGCACCGCCGCACGGTAAGACCCCGCCGCATATGAGCGCTCATATATATATATATATATATATATATATATATATATATATATATATATATATATATATATATATATATATATATATATATATATATATATATATATATTCCTTACGCATGAAAACATGCAAAGAATAAATATAAATAATATCCATATATGTAGTTTAATAATCCCAAGCATATAGTTATATATCTCAAGTATATAGCTATATATCACAAGCATATAGCTATATATCTCAAGCATATAGCTATATAAAACTCAAGCATATAGCTATATATTCCAAGCATATAGCTATATATCACAAGCATATAGCTATATATCTCAAGCATATAGCTATATATCTCAAGCATATAGCCATATAAACCTCAAGCATATAGCTATATATTCCAACGCATATAGCTATATATCTCAAGCATATAGCTATATATGTCAAGCATATAGCTATATAAATTTCTCCCAGTATTTTAATTAACTTTCTACCAAACTAAAATAATATTTACAACTCCACAACTCCAAATATTATTTAAGCTTTCATGGTAGTTCATCTGAATCATTAATCTCCATTACTATATAAATTTCCAACACATTGTCTTTGGTGACAATTCCAAATTTAGAATATTCATAGCTGAGTCTACTAAAAGAGGGACCAGCCTCATCGTGGTGACTCGACGAAGGGAGGGAGATGCGGCGCGGGAAGGAAAACGCTCTCAGACAATTGTTTTTGCCATTTAACATCCCAGACTATTATTTTTTGGACACTTTTGGTCCTTTTCATGACTTTGCATATTTTTAGTAAGTGCATTTTTGTCTTTTCATATTTTTCTTTTGTTATTTTTCCGATTTCAACAGATTTAATTGGTTTAGGACTTTACTAAAAACCGGTTGAAAATATGGTTACTAAAAATCAGAGGTTATCTAAAGTTCTAAACCAACTAAACCGGTTGAAATCAAAAAAATAACAAAAGAAAAATATGAAAAGACAAAAATGCCCTTACTAAAAATAGAAAAAGTCATGAAAATGACTAAAAGTGTCCAAAAAAACAATAGTTTGGGATGTTATAAGACAAAAACGACAATCTGAGATTAAATTTGAAATTGCCACAAAAAACTAAGGAACTCTGGTTGAATTAACTCAATAAAATTATTACCAGAAGACTAGTGTTTTCATCTATAGCTTAGTTAAAGTTAGTCTTGAATTGGTAGTGTTCTCTTACTTTATCAATAATGTAATTGGACTTGTGAATACAAAAACCATATCGTACTATACATTAAAATAATTAGTTAGCAAGTAAACTAATAAGTTATTAGTTGATTTAATGTGACATGAGTGTTACCAGTGTTGCGTCGATTGTGACTTTAAGGAGTGTTTGGTTGAGAAGGAATAAATTAGGAGAGAAAAAAATTGTAATTTAGTGGGAAAAATAATGTGAGAATAAAGTACAAATTCAAATTACATTATTTAGTATGGAGAAATAAAATTATTTGAAATAGAGCGAAAGGATTGATTTAAAGACTAAAATGTTATTGTGTAATAATAATAATTAAGGACAAAAGAGTTATTTTTTTTTATCGATTTTCTTTCCATGATATGTTGGATTGTAATTCATGGAGGTGAAGTCATGAATTGCAATTCAACAAAATAAGGAAATTGTATTATAGTTATGTAAAATTACAATTTTCTTCAACCAAACAATGTAATTTAATTTTCTTGCATGCTCAATAAGATTGAAAAAAATTTCCAATTACAACTAACCAAACACCCAATTAAAGATGTATATAGAATTAGTACCAATTTCAATTTATCAATTATACACAATAACGTTTTCACTTTTTCCTAATTCGTTTTTTAGTAAATGCTAATAATTTCTATTTTCTTAACATACTAGCATGCGTAACAACTTGGACAATTGTAAAGTTAAAAGATTAACTTTTAAAAAGATGGCCCTAATTTTTTGTAAAGCCAGAATTTATTCCTTTTTAACATATTTAAGCAAAGGTAACACCAGGACGTACCGGTTTTTGGTATGTACATAGTGTCCAACAGCATAGAGCCTCAAATTTAGAGGATTTAATATCTATTTTTTGACATAGTTACTAAAAAAAAAAAAAAATTATAATTAAGCCCACATTTCTTCAATTCTCTTTCTATCTTGCTTAAAACTTATCTGTTCTTTTTCTAAATTTCTTTAATTATCAAAGTTGCAATTTAATTTTCACTTCTCTATCCTAAATAATTGAGCAAGATTATGACAAAATCGTTCAAAATCTGACATAATTAAATTTTCTTCTCAATCAAATCTTTAATTTTAATATATAAAACTGTTAAATTAGAACCTCATTTATGTATAGAAACAGGGTCACAAAAATTCAAAACACTGCCCTGGGTAACACTAAGCATTTTGTTTGGCATAATCGAAAGCACAAAACTGTAAAACACATGCGAAAATAGCAATATTCGCGCAATAAGCAAATTAAATCAAAAGAAACGATTTTATCACATGTAATAATCATGAATTCCTCGAAGCCGACTTATGCGTAGGACCCACTCACCCCTCAATTCTCAGTTCTCACCGCGTGTAATTTTATTCTTATTTTTTGAGCAATTATTTGCACGCACAATCATACGGCCTACATTTTGTTGATTTTTTAATGAGTCAACCCACCGAAACGCGTTGAACTTGGACATACCCGTCTTTCCCGTCCACTTTCCTTTTTACTGCTACACAGTTCAACATTACATTACAGATTGGATAGATACACTCCCCCACTTGCCTTTTTTTTCTTTTTTCTTTTTTAAAGTAATTTCCTCGGCTTCCAAGCAATCTCCATATATCCTTTACGTCTTATCCCCGTCTATTTACATATATAAAAGCACCCACTTCACACCTCTTCATCCTCATCCATATTCATCTGTGTTCTTTGATCTGATAGCTTTAAAGGGTTTCTGCAAGTTTCAGTTTTTATTTGTTTGGTTTTTTTAAGGTTTAAGGTTATGGGGGTACAAGAAGATGTTTTGGACGCAAATCCCATTAAGATTCGGGAAGTTTGGGCGGATAATCTGGAATCGGAGTTCCAGCTCATCAGCCACCTCATCGACGAGTATCCGTACATCTCCATGGATACGGAGTTTCCTGGGGTTGTTTTCAAGCCGGAGAGTCGCCGGCGAGGGCCTTTCTCGGCTTCCGATCGCTCTGCGGATTCCTACCGGTTGCTCAAGTCAAACGTGGATGCTCTGAATCTGATTCAGTTGGGGTTGACTTTGTCGGACGGTAGCGGAAACCTCCCCGTGCTCGGATCTGACGGCCACCGCTTCATCTGGCAGTTCAATTTCTCCGACTTTGACGTGCAGCGTGACCTCTACGCGCCGGATTCCGTCGAGTTGCTCCGCCGTCAGGGAATCGACTTCGACAAGAACCGGGACTGCGGGGTTGACTCGGCCCGGTTCGCCGAGTTGATGATGTCGTCCGGCCTGGTCTGTAACGAGTCCGTCAGCTGGGTCACGTTCCACAGCGCGTACGATTTCGGCTACCTGGTCAAGATCCTCACGCGCCGCTCCTTGCCCGGAGATCTGGAAGATTTCTTGGAAATTCTCAAGATCTTCTTCGGGGATAGGGTTTATGACATCAAGCACCTCATGAAGTTCTGCCAGAGTCTCTATGGCGGGCTAGACCGGTTGGCCAGAACGCTGGCCGTGGACCGGGTGGTCGGAAAATGCCATCAGGCCGGTTCAGATAGCCTGCTGACATGGCACACGTTTCAAAAAATGAGGGATGTGTACTTTGTAAATGAAGGACCGGAAAAACATGCCGGAGTATTGTATGGACTAGAAGTTTTTTAAGATAATTCTAATTGTTAAACAAAAAATAATAATTTTATTAATTCTTTTAGTTAAACATTTTTTTTGCCTCTAATTTATTTTGAGCCTCCTTATTTGGAAAAAAGGTATAAATAAACCATTAAACTATTTGATGAATAGCAATTAAATCGTCAAACTCGCAAATTATGCTGTGTAACTGTGTGCACCACGCTGGTGCACACGGTTGCAAAAATGGCATCGTTTTGATTAAAAACGACGCGTCCGACTTTAAAAAAATAATAATTTTGATTGCCGTTAACGGTATTATGTTGTGCATAATTTGAACTATATATCCAGAATGAATGAACTATATATTCAGAATGAATAAAATATATATCTAGGATGAATGAACTATATACTCTAAAATGAATGAATTTTATATCCAGAATGAATAAATTATATATCTAGAATGAATGAATTATATAGTTCAAATTATGTACAACATAACGCCGTTAACGACAATCGAAACTGATTTTTTTTTTTTAAATCAATTATTCTAAACACTGACTCTAATTGCACCGGAAACTCCTTATTAAATAATTTTTTAAAATATTTATAATATTGTAGAACTTAGTACGCAAATAAAATATTGTAGTTTTAGAAAGTAAACATTAGAATTACTAGAGAAAGAAAAACATAAATTTCGTTTATAATGTTCATTGGTACATAAGATATATATGAAGATGGCATGATGCATGCAAAATAGAATATGGGAAGAGGGAATGTATGTATGCGCTAAACTTGAAAATTCTGTCACGTAACAGCATTGCACCTGCAAATTGAGCCGGCAGTCGGGTCAACAAGATGGCCAGGCCAACCGGCAATGAACAACTATTTTTAAAAAAATATACAATAATGTCTGATGTTCGATTTTTTAATTGAACCAAACATTATGCATTGCTGCTTGATGACCTACACCGTTGACATCTCCGACGTATCCCAACACAACTCTACCTTCTGGATACTTTCAATTTTTTACGCTTACGTTTTAAAATGTTTACTATAATCTTTATATATATATAGAGAGAAAGAGATAGATTAAGGTAAGGTTCAAGTGCGGCGTCACTATTAATAGTTCAACAAATATATATTATCAACATTAGAAAAATGCACCACAAAACACACATAAATTAGGTACACATCACCAAAAATACACCTTTAGGTGTGAGTAAAAATATCATACAGTGTTTAGAAATACACCATTGGGTGTGGTGAGTTATATGGTGTATTTTTTTTGGATCTGTTGTGTATTTTTTGATTTTTTACATTTCATCGTGGTGTGTTTCCCTTAACACTGTTGGTGCATGTTGTTAACACTATTGGAGTATTCTGAAATTTCGCCGCACCGCCGCATTTGAATTTTTTCCATATATATATATATATATATATATATATATATATATATATATATATATATATATATATATATATATATATATATATATATATATATATATATGGGGTCGCGTTCTGGTGCGAATGTCAGGTGCGAAATGAGAACCAATCAGTGCACGCCACGTGTCAGCATTCATTGATCGGGTGCACCTAATTTCACCTATAAGTGCACCTACTTTTGCCTGCAAGTGCATGTAGTTTTTGTCCGCATTCATTGATCGGATGCATATACTTTCACCTACAAGTGCACCTACTTTCGCCGGCAAGTGCATGTATTTTGTCTTGTTAACATTCTTTGATCTGAGTTCGTGCTGTTTGGCCTCGTTTTTGTTCTTGCGGGGAGTTCAGCGGGTAGTAGTACCCGTGAAACCACTCGCAAACATTCATGCAGTGCACCTAGGTGCAACTACTTATAACTATATGTGCACTTAGTATTGATGCTCAGTGTAAATTTTACTTGCACCTATAATACATTTTACATGTACTTGTAATACATTTTTTTAAAATCAGTGTTTCTCATCCATTAGATCTGGACACGTGGACGAATATCAGACATTCACATTTTGCACCTGGGCACTCCATTCGCACCAGATGACCAGAGTGCATTTATATATATATATATATATATATATATATATATATATATATATATATATATATATATATATATATATATATATATATATATATATATATATATATATGTATATATATATATATATATATATATATATATATATATATATATATATATATATATATATATAGAGGGATGCACTCAGGTGCGAATAAGTGCCCAGGAAGGAATATGCGAACGAATCAGCACGCGACACGTGTCCAGATCTAATAGCTTAAAAAAACGCGGTGATATTTTCGTAAATAATTGAACATCGAAGTGCAAGTAAAATCACTTACAAGTGCACTTACTTTCACCTATAAGTGTATGTAATTTTGTCTTGTTAGCATTCACTTCCCGCAAACATTCATGCACTTGGGTGTGCTTATAACTATAGGTGCAACTATTTATAACTATAGGTGCAACTACTTATAACTATAGGTGCACCTACTTTCACCTATCAGTGCATGTAATTTTGCCTTGTTAACATCATTGATCTGAGTTCAGCGGGTAGTAATACCCCTGAAAACCACCCGCAAACATTCATGCACCTAGGTGCAACTACTTATAACTATTTGTGCAACTACTTAGAACTATCGGTGCAACTACTTATAACTATAGGTGCACTTAGTATTGATACTCAGTGTAAATTTTTACTTGAACCTATAATACATTTTACTTGCACTTTGATGTTTAATTATTTACGAAAATGCCACTGCACTTTTTTAAAAAAATCAGTGTTTCTCATCCATTAGATCTGGACACGTGGACAGACAGAATTCATTCCTGGGCGAAGCATTCGCACATGAGTGCGATTATATATATATATATATATATATATATATATATATATATATATATATATATATGTTTAACAACGCGAAACAGTACAAGGCCTTCTTCCATTGTATTTTATAAGCTCTAATCCTATGGGCCTCCATGGTTATTTGTTGATGAGGGGCTAGTATATGACGGCAAATTATTACGGTTGTTATGTCATGCACTACGGTGCTTGATCAATCATCCACTGCACGTTAGACATTATAGTGTGTCTAAATTGACACTGTCTCACGTATTATTTTTATATTATCAAATGAAACTACACTTATATCAAAATGATACTGTAGTTGTGGTGAAATGAAACTACAGTATATATAAAATGAAACTGAATAACATTTCACATATTTGAGTGTATATTGTACAATGAAGCTGTAATTATATTGAAATGATCATGTAGTTGTGTTTTAATGAAATTATAGTGTATATAAAATAAAATTAAATAACATTTTCACATATTTGAGTGTATAAATATTGAATGAAATTGTAGTTATATCGAAATGAAACTGTAGTTGTGTTGAACTGAAACTGTAGTGTATACAAAATAAAACTGAAGAACAAAGTTATTTTTTGCAAAGATTCTGTTTCTTTTCATTAAATAAAACGACGTCGTTTTGACTATTGAGTATTGACAGTGTCAGTTTAGACACACTTTAGTGTCTGACGCGCGGTGCATGATATAATTTGCCAAATTATAACATGGCCTAGACCAGGGTCTATCCTGATTTAAGAATAATCATCAGATTCTGTATTTGCAGTTAACTGTATATGTAAACAAATTCAAAGACGCATCACATGATAATTATAGATACATAATTTAACTTGATAACTACAGACACATAACGGTTAACTGCATGTGTTGGTTTTCAGACTTTCGGAGCAGTCATTCAACACTACTGAAAAAAGTATGGTTTGCCCACACTAAAGGGGGTGGGGTGTGCTGAATAAGTCTAACTATGCTTTACAAATAATGAACCCATTTACAACAGAAACGAGTCTAGAATACACATCTAAATAATCAACATTCAATCAATTTGTATATGCTCAAATAATAAACTTTATGCATATAAATAATGAACCATCAATTAAGTTATTTTCATACTATTTTGTATACATTCAAATAATGAACGTTATGTTTAAAAATAGTGTACCTTAGCTTATACATAAAAATAATGTACTCTATTCATATAAAATAATATACATTGTACATAAAAATAGTATGTAGTACACCTTATACATAATTTACATTGCTCTGTGAACCATGATCTACCTAATAAGCATTTCACCTTTATGGTGTACAAAAATTTAAAAACACGATTAAGACATATTTCTATATAAGAAACTTACTAAAAGCTTTTTGAAAATACTCTCTACATGTGTTTCAAGGTTAATTGAAAAGAAAATTAGATCGAAGAAATAAGTTCTTATTTCTTGTTTTGCCTTATACAATACCATCATGTGTATGTATTACTTTAATTATTTAACTGTTTGAACAACTGATAATCAAATTGTTAATGTAATTGTTAAACAGTTAAAGTATTCTAGTTTAGATTTTTACTCAAGTAAGAATTAGACTGTAAATTTCTTTTATTTTTTATTTTGAATAGTATATAGCTTTACACATCAAAAGTAAAATTAAAGACACTGAGCGCAGAAGGGTTGAATAAATATAGTTAAAGAAACAGGGACACGTAACATGGCAAAGAATAGCGAAACTTGATGTCTTTATCAGATGTTATTAAAGCTGACGAAAGTAACATTATATTATATTCTCCCATCCACACTGTACTGCTATACGTACAATTCAGCTAATTCCTAACATGGCAGCAAAGCAAAACCGATACTCTTTTTCTAACATAAGCATAAAGCATTGAATAGCCATGTGCACTCAACATCACCTTAACGTCTCTCAACAATTTCTACAATTTGTATACTACGAACTTACACAATATTAATATATATTTAATTGATTACCTTATTTTTTATTCACAAGTTCCTTTCAAATACTGTAATTACACAATATTGATGACCCTGTATTGTGAATTACAACTATTATGTGTTTGAATAATTATGGATGCAAAAATGTAAACTTTACTTAAAAATTGTATTACCAAACAAAAGACACTATTATGTATATAAGAAAAGTGTAGAATTGCAACCCATCAATACCCCACCACCGAGGTTCGATCCTGTGACCCTTAAAGGGAGCCACAGAAGTGTCATCTTAGCATAAGGTGCTTGGCTGAGTATTGATTGATATTGTATCGATAAATAGGGAATATGATCACGTATTACATTTATAATTAAGTAATTAATTGTATTGTATTGTTACCAGGCGTAATGTAGAGATACATTGTACCGGTGCAAATATAGGAGAGCAACTCGATCCAGCGGTCCATCTTCGATCACGTGGTTGCCACTGGATAATTAAATGGCCTAATAATGACCATAACACATGCACAGAATTAAGGTGAATATTACGTGTAGCTAGGTTAGCTTAAGTGACCCATCAGCAATAACGTCACCTAAATCTGCGCTTCTTCGATTTTGATTATCGTCGCCGGTTAGAAATACCGCCGGCGCCGCCGTGCCTGATCTCCGTGAAGGCTTGAATGATGATCTCGTGATGCACCGGCGAATTCAACCGCAGGAAGCACTTGAGGAGCTCTTCCAGGCCCTCCTCCGACCACATATCCCTCGCCGCCATCATCTGAATCATCGACTGCCGGAAATCCAGGTACGGATCGTCGGACTCCTTCACGACGGCTACAGAGCCGCGGAAGTGTGACCCGATCTTGCCGCCCTCGTCATCGTCGTCGTTGAGGCTGCGGGAGAAATGCGATGAGGTGGAACCGACGGTGGCGGAAGCTGTGGAGGAACTGTACTCTTCCTCATCGTCAACGTAATTGGATTGGCAGGCGGAAGAAGAAGGGCGGCGGATAGGCGGCGGCGGCGGCGGCGGGGCGGGTTTGTGGGCTTCGGAAATCGGTTTTGGCACTGAGACTTGTGTTGGGTTTGGATTTGCGCAGCCACAGTCTGCATTGTGGCTCATTATTGTGAATATTTTCTTGAATTTCCCAATCTTTTTGTGCTTTGAAGACATTATATTAGTCGTCGTAATAGAAATGGTCAAATGGAGAGGGAGAAGATGCAATTATATATACACACACGCACGCACGTCTTATCGGGAAACCAATTTGCTCTTAAATTGCATTTTTATCCTCCCGTCATACCTATGGTACAATCTTAGTCAGATTATCTTTAGTCCCCAAAGGGAGATTTTAATATTTGAACGAATAAATTAATCACTTTATTAAATGACAAATTAGTGATAAAAATAATCCTTAAGAGATTAAAATCGTAATTTCATGTATGATATCATAATGTGTAATGTAAATTTTACTATATATACATACTAGTATGAAACCCGTGCGATGCAAGACCTATAAATTTGTAGTAGTTAATGTTAATTTTTATATATACATACTAGTATGAAACCCGTGCGATGCAAGGCCTATAAATTTGTAGTAGTTAATATTAATTTTTATTTTTTTTTACACTGTTAAAGTATAGTATGTATATTGTAAATAATGGAATTGACAGTTACATACGTTCATATGGAAATAATTATTATATAAATAAATAGCATGCCTTTTAATAGACTATTTTTATATATGGTTAATTTCATAATTACAAATAAAATTTCTTAATTGCAGGGAGACTTTTGTGACATTCCAATCTGCCAAATAATTTTAAAATAATTTATTCAATCATTTCAAACATTTTAATAGGTTACTTTTAAATTAATATATATAATTAAATTATTCTACCCAATTATATATATAATTCTTAAATATGATCCTAATAACTCTATATGATGTACGATATATATGTATATAATAATATATAAATATAGTATTATCCTATTATACCTATATGTAATTATGGAATTGGCAGTTGCATACGTTCATATGTAAATAATTATTATACAAATAAATAAATATCCTGCCTTTTAATAGATTATTTTTAGATTTTTATCTATGGTAATTAATTTCATAATTGCAAATAAAAATTCCTAATTGCAGGGATACTTTTGTGACATTACAATCTGCCACATAATTTTAAAATAATTTATTATATCATTTCAAACCTTTTAATAGGTTATTTTTAAATTAATATATATAATTAAATTATTCTACCCAATTATATATATCATTCTTAAGGAGAGACTAGATAAGGTACTGGCAACGATGGAGTGGTGTGATGTGCATGGAGGGGCGGGTGTGGAGAATATAATTACTAGTAACTCGGATCATTCGGCTCTGTTTCTTGATATGAATGCACGAAAAAGGGGAGGAGGAAGGATTCCTAGGAGGTTCAGGTTTGAGATGGCATGGCTGCTTGATGAGGGGTGTAGAGAAGTGGTGGAAACTGCCTGGCAAGGGGGGAGGACAGAGGGGTTGTTGAATTGTCAGCAACGATGTGGGGATAAACTGATGCGCTGGGGCGGTGACCATTTTCATAAGTTTGGTGAGCATATCCGGCGACTCCGCAGGGAGCAGGGGCGGATCCGTGGTAAGAGGGATCCGGCATCTTTGACTCAGTTCCAGCTGTTGAATAACCAGATCTCCCAGTTAGAAGCCCAGGAAGATGTCTTTTGGAGGCAGAGAGCGAAGCAGCATTGGCTTCGTGGCGCAGATGCGAATACGAAATATTATCACAGGTATGCTTCTACTAGAAAGAAAAAGAATTCTGTTTCTAAGCTGTTGAATGAGAATGGGGTATGGGTGGAGGGACATGATATGAATAATGTAGTAATCAATTATTTCAATACAACTTTTGCTACTAGTAATCCTGTGTGTGAGGATTCTTTATTTGATGAGTTTGGGCCCCGTGTGACAACTGACCAGAATGAGGCATTGTTGTGTCCTTATGATGTGGCCGAGGTCAAAACTGCTTTATTTGCCATGTATCCTGACAAGGCACCGGGACCGGATGGGATGAATCCTGGATTTTATCAGCGGTTTTGGGATATAGTTGGAGAAGATGTGTCTACTTTTGCTGTTAATTGTTTGAATTCAGGTGAAATCCCGGGTGATTTAAATGCAACTAATATTGTTTTGATCCCGAAAAAGAATGATCCTACAACTGTGGCGGATTTGAGGCCTATTGCCCTGAGTAATGTATTGTACAGGATTATGGCAAAAATGATCGCCAACAGATTGAAACCTATGCTGGGGGATCTGATTTCAGAATCTCAGAGTGCCTTCATCCCAGGTAGGCTTATAACGGATAATATACTTGTGGCGGCAGAGGTGGGCCACTTTTTGAATCGTAAACAGTGTGGAGTGGCTGGGTGGGGAGCGCTTAAACTGGATATGGCGAAAGCCTATGATAGAATGGAGTGGTTATTCTTGAAAAGAATGCTGGAAGTAATGGGTTTTGATGGAAGGTGGATTAAGCTGATAATGACATGTGTTACCACTGTATCATACACTGTGATGGTCAATGGCGTGAGTGGAGGCCAGGTGCAACCAACAAGGGGTCTCAGACAGGGAGATCCACTTTCACCTTTCTTATTTATTATTTGTGCTGAAGGTTTATCCATGCTTTTGCAGAAAGAGCAGGCAGTAGGATCTATTCATGGTTGTAGAGTGGCTAGGGGAGCCCCCCAATATCACACATATTTTTTGCTGATGATAGTTTGTTGTTTTTTAAAGCAAATGTCCAGGAAGCTATGGTGGTTAAGCGGTGTTTGGAGAGGTATGGGGAATTATCTAGTCAGTTGGTAAACTATAGTAAATCTAATATATGCTATAGTAAGAATACTGCGGAACAGATGAGAGAAGAGGTGGCCGAATGTTTGGGCGTGGAACAGGCAAGGAACTTTGGAAAATATCTGGGGTTACCCTCTTTTATAGGGAAAAATAAAAGGGCTGTTTTCTCTTATATAGAAGATAAAATCAGACAAAGAGTTTTCTCGTGGAACAAGAAATTGTTATCACAGGCTGGCAAAGAGGTGCTTTTGAAAAGTGTGGCTCAGTCTATGCCCACATTTTCAATGAGTGTTTTTTTGCTCCCTGAATCAGTTTGCGAGTCGGTACAAAGGGCCATGAATAGGTATTGGTGGGGGAAAGGGCCAGACAGAGGAATCCACTGGAAAGCATGGAAGAAATTGTGTATCCCTAAGAAGTTTGGTGGATTAGGGTTTAAAGATCTGAGGAATTTTAATCTGGCAACGTTGGGTAAACAGACATGGCGTTTCTTAACAAATCCAGGATCACTGCCAGCACGAATATATAAAGCAAGATATTTCCCTAAAACTTCTTTTGTTGATGCAACGAAGGGAAATAATCCCAGTTTTTGTTGGCGAAGTATTATGGCTACTCATGATTTTGTTATTGCCCACGTCCGCAGGAGAATTGGAAATGGCCAGGAGACTTTGATATGGGGTCATCCGTGGTTGCAGGATAATCCTAGTCCACTGGTTCAAACAGTAATGCCTGAACCATTAAGGGATGCAGTTGTTGCAGGTTTAATATATCAGCAAACAAAAACATGGGATCCTCATAGTTTAACAGATTTATTTGAACCTGAGGATGTGGATCGTATTTTGAGAATACCTGTGAGCCCAGACTATAAAGACACATGGTATTGGCATAATGATGCGAATGGTTGTTACACTATAAAAGATGCTTATAGGCGTCTAATGGGAGAATTTAATCACACCTTGGGAGAATTTGATAGATGGATTACATTGTGGAAGTTGAAAGTCCCCCCTAAGTGGAAAACTTTTTTATGGAGAGCGGTATGTGATATACTCCCAACCACAGCAAATTTGATTATAAAGAGGGTAGATGTGAACCCAACATGCATGTTGTGTGGTCTTACAAATGAGAATGTTATGCACTCATTAGTTTTATGTGATTATTCTAGAGCCGTATGGAATATTTCGGGATTGCCTATTATGAATATTTCTTCAACATCTTTCCCGAATTGGCTTATGACTGTTATGGATATGCTCACAGGAGAACAGGTCAGACGCGTTGTGGGGGTCCTCTATTTTTTACGGATGGCCAGAAACGAGGCGGTCTAGCAACATGCGGTACGGAGGCCGGAGGTGGTGTGGCGCCGTGCAGCTGCGGGGGAGGCGAGCTACACGGCACTTCATTCTCGTCCAGAAGCAGCACCGGCCGGCGAGGTGCAGACAGTGGCAGCCGGGCGGACGACATGCTACGTCGACGCCGGATACGATCCGGGGACGGGAAATGCAACCTATGGGGCGGTCTTATTCGATCCGAATGGTTTGTTCAAAGCAGCGGCAAGCGGAAAACTCCCGGGGTGTTTAACTCCTCTTATGGCAGAAGCACTAGCATGCAAGGAAGCCTTGTCCTGGCTTAAAGACCGAAACGAGAACGAGGTCGATATTCTTACTGATTGTCTTGTCTTCAGGAATGCGGTTCATGCAGTAACTACACCGAACTTATCTTATGTTGGAATTGTGATTGAGCAGTGCAGGATAGCTATTAATAGTTTCGTTTTTTGTTCACTTAGTTTTATTCCAAGAACTCTAAATTTACATGCGCATACTCTTGCTAGATTAGCCCATGATCAGGATCATTCTATGTACTGGGATTTAATCCCTCCTGACTCTATCATTCAATTTTTGAATTAATATACTGGTACGCCATATTTCAAAAATATATATCATTCTTAAATCTGATCTTAATAACTACATATGATGTACGATATATATGTATATTTTTTTGGAATAATATATATGTATATAATAATATATAAATATAATATTATCCTATTATACCTATATGTAATTCTGGAATTGACAGTTACATACATTCATATGAAAATAATTATTATATAAATAAATATCCTGCCTTTTCATAGACTATTTTTATATATAGTAATTAATTTCATAATTACAAATAAAAATACAATATGAAAAAGTAATGTAAATCTTTAATGTAAAAAAATACGCAGAATTTCTCCACAAGAAATAACTTAGAAATAGAAAAAAAAAAAAAAAAGAAGTAATTTTACCACTGCATAATTGTAACAACAACTGAATTGAATCGTTGCATGCCATTTGCCCAATTGAAACAAATCTCTCGAGATATGTTGTTGTAGCAAAGAACGCACTCC